CCTGTCGGAGGCCGCTGACAGAAAATGGAATCAGACACATCCAATACTGTGTGTGTTCTTTTTGTGACTGAGCCAAAACCTGCTGCGAACAGAGGGCTCAACAAACATTCATTATGTGAGAGAAGACGGCCTATCAGATGACAGTTGGTTGCAGCCGCGTCGTTAGCGTTGCCCAATGCTATCCCCTTGGGACACTTAGTGAGGAGTGGCGTGAAGGAGTTTGATGAGGTGGTTAGGCCTATTTCGGTCAAAACATCGATGGTTATATATAAAAACCACTTACTGACAGAAGCTCCTCTGCAACTCTAAAGCCGTCGCGCTTCATATCTAATCCGTTTACATTGACATATTGAGTTAATAGGAGCTAAATCTATAGTAACTGTGGTGCAATGTCTTTACTGTGTGTGTTTAATATTCCCCTGCTCGCCAGATACGATGGAAGTCAAGGCAGCTGGAGCACATTTTGATCTTCAAACTTGATAACAAATGGAGCCTTGAAGTAGTTAAAGCAGGCTCAGAAGTCTCTTTATAGTCACATGTTCCATATGCCGTCCAATCATACACAACCACATACACTCTCACTATCTGCATACACAGATGCTATGCAGTGCGTCCATGCTGCTCCTAGCACACGTAACTCCTTCTAACGTCCCATCTGCTCTGTCTCCTGTATAAAACTGAGATACACTACACAACCATCCGCCACCCTGATTATCACACCTGTAAATGCTGTTCACACTGAAGCACTTTACTTTACTTTACTTTACTTTCTCTCTCAGCGACATAAAAATACTTTAAACAAAATGGAGGACAGCTGATTGTAGAAGCCAATGACGTCCCAGCTCTCTATGATAGAACTTTAATAAGATACTGCGACTTGTGGAAACGCATCACTCTGGAGATGAACCATTTTGTTGTGTGCCAGTATTGAGGCAATGTGAGAAAATATTCTGACATAATGTTTGTGCATACAGGGAACACACCTTAGGTATTGGTACCCAAAGTTAGACATAAATTATGCCTCAGAAAATTGTCCAGTATGAGTATAATCTGTAGGGATACTGGGCTAAAAAACAGTTCTGCTCTTTGACAACTAAGAATCTAATAAAAGACTGAAAAACAAAACTGAAATACTGTTCCCCAGTCATTATTGTATTTTATTTTAATTTTATGATCAGTCTCATGTTCTGCTGATGTGAACACATTCCACCACTGATGCTGCCCCAGACTTCCTTTGTTATCACTGTCTGGATTTGAGTTATTATCAACAGCATTAAGTCAAAACTTAGACAAAAAACTGCTCTTCAGTGCAGGGACGCCTGTCTGTCCCACCACTAACGCTCTGAGCAGAAATCCTCCTGGCCCCTGCTGGGATACAGTGATTTGTGCGTCGTCTGGGATGCATTCCCGCCTGTCTGTCCATTGGTCAATCCAGGATTGACCCACCATCCCTCTGACCAGTCACAGACGTCCCCTTTAAACCTCGCAGGTCTGGAATAAGATCAACAACCAGTCACCCCAGCGGTGTTCTGTGTTGTTTTATCTGTCTTTGTCTCCCCTTTTGTTGCCCCTGTTAACTTTGTAATCCCTCAAAGTTTTCTCCCTCTCTCCTCCTACAACTCACTCCGCTCTTTATTGAAAACACGAGCGAGTAATCTTTCATTAGGACAACAGAACACGCACTGCATGCATGCACAGCCTGGAGGGGGTTGTAAGTAAGAGGCAGGCATTCTGAAAACATTCTTTTCTGGTAATAAAGTCCCCGTAAATTAAAACCACTTGCTGTTTTGCTCCTAAAATAAGTTGGGCAAGGAATGCGACTCCTCAGCTGAAAATAAAACTGTTGACAAATGTTTCTCCCTGGAATCAGACAAAAAATAAAATCAGATTAATAGAAGCAGAAACAAACAGTGAGCACTGAGGAACACTATGATAAAGAAAACAGTTGTGAACTAGAAATAAATAATGAAATGTTTGTAAAGTCATCTCCACTTGAGGCTTTTCTCTTTTTCCATCCCCCTCTTCCCTCTCTCTCCTTGGCACATTGCTGACACAGCACAGCCCAGTCATGGACCCTGAAGGCCTACAATGCCTGCTCCCTCTCCACCTCTCGCTCTCTCTCTGAGTATATAGGCTTGCACTGAATAAACTTCCAGTATGGACACAGGAAGCGGCTCAGCAACTTCTCAGGTTTGGACCCACTCTCAGTGGGATAATAGACCTCTTGTGGAAAGCAGATGTCAAAGTGACTCATGAACCTAATTTCTCTCCACAGACAAAGACATGTGAGAAGTAGGACAACATACCTCTCAGGCAGTACACAAGTATGTGTCGCAGAGAAACTAAATCAGCAGTTTGACATCTTGTAAAGCATGCTCGCTTTTTTTCTAATAGTGAGATGAAAAGATCAATACCAGAATCAATATCACAATCAATACCTGAGTATCTCTGCTTCCAGTCTTTATGCGAATTTGTGTTCGTCAAACTATTTCTTTAAAGGAAAAACCTGAATAAATGAGTGGAGAAGCAACAAAAGCAGATGCCTCCATACATCTGGATGGGTGTCCACTGACGAGTATGACAGTGATATGATACATATATTATGGCACACAGTCACCTCATCTCAACCCAACTAAACACCTATGGAAGACTGTTAAGACAGTGCTCATCACAACCATCATCTAAACACCAAATGAGGAATTTTCATTAACAAGAATCCTCCAGTTCATTTCAAAAGAATCTATAACAAGGAGCCTTTTAACCTGTCACTAATCCCTTGTCATTACTTTTACATGATGTTGTTCTGCTGGAAAGAACTTTGGTTAAAATCTTTGGAAAATCAAGGCAGGTAACCCCATCCCTTCATGAAGACCATTACCAGAAAATCCAAGTATTATAAAGGAATACTCCGGTATCAAATACTCTCTTTTCACACCTGCAGTTGGAGGACAGCAAATATAATTGGTGCCAATGGCAACCCAGATCCTTGGCAGAATGAGAACAGAAAAGTCTTCAACCACTCCCACAGCACAAACCACTTCTCCACAGTTATTCCGCACGCTCACCATCAGTGGTGGAGAAGTGATTTTTGCTGCAGGGGAAGTTAAAGAACTTTCTGTGCACATTTTGAAATGTTTTGACATGTTTCAAACCCACAGGTTGTGAGTATTTGATACTAACAGAATTTATTTTCAGTGCTCTATTGTGTATGTAAACCTTCTCTGTTCTGGTACAGCTGCTTAGTAGCCAGATGTTGACCGGGTTTTTTTTTAATATAATCAATATGTTTTTTTCTGGATTCAACTTTTACAAAGCATGATGAATCAACACGCATACATTTAGGTGTTAGGCAGTAAGACGTGCACATGCGTAAACTGATCGTGATGACATACAATGTGGACTCCCACTGCACCCCTCACACTTCCTGACATATGGCCGCTGAGTGCTAAGATGACACACATACTCTAAAACACCTCTTAAACCAGAGGGACCGCCGTGACCATTTCAACCCAGAGTGTTGAAACTTGATCTCTTTTCTTTGACAGAAGCAGAAGAAAGTTATCAGAAGACACTAATTCATCACAGTGAAGTTATGGTTCTTCACAGCGATGCTCACAAAGAGAGAAATGTGAGCAGCAGTTAATGGTATCCACGCAGTCTAGGGGACAAGGTATTCGTATAAATAAATGACATTTGTTGCTGCATGTGAGTGAGACAGATACAGAGGGTAAAACATGGCCTTTCAGAAGTTACAAAACTTGTTATTCAACCTTCAGCAGATCAAGTGTAATCCGCTTTAATGTAAAGTATGCTGCTGCAGTGAGCTCTGCAGGCCTATAGTTTTATAATTAACACTTATGAAATGACCAAGTGCCAGGTCACCTGGGTGCACACAAGAGCCATACAGGGCATCAAATTTGATGACTGACTGATGGCTGCAGTGTTTTTAACAACCACCCTGACTTAACACTGTAGGTTCTAACCTCCAAAGACAAAGAACCAAATACAATATCAAATGATTTAGAAGTTAGAAGCATTTTTATATCATAAAGCTCCGGTAGGATAAAATAACTGAAACTGTAACAACGGATTCAGTCACAACTGAGTCACAATCAGCTGATCTGAGTCAAATTTAAGTGTTATTGAGCTATAATACGCAAAATAAGCCTAGACTTGGCGAGTATCAAAAGTTGGTACTGAATACTAGATTAACACTTGCTTTAATTTTGACTCTAGAAAAAGTAAGAAAACCAGAGACCATTCAACAGCCTGAGAAGTTAAGATAAAGTGTCACAGTTTGTTTGAATCACTAGACCTTTGAGACCAAATACAACTCAGGCAAGTAGATTTTGCATATTTTGCTATTTTGCTTGGTGGAAATGACTGTGGTCTGAGCCAGGAGATCTGCTTAAACTCAAGGAATGTGTTAATGTAACAGTTCTGAATTTCCTTGACTCAGCTGAGGAGTTACCAACATCTGGCCTGATGGGTATTGCCTGATGCAGGGGTGAGACTATGAACCTGTCTGGAACCTGTCTGTGCTGCTGTGGTTCTTACAATTTCTGGGAACCTGATATACTCAGGATATTAGAAGAAAAGGAAATGAGCAGAGCCATTTGGAGACTAATTTTTTTTGGTTTCAGACCAAGTTATCTTGTGTAGTTTTGTGCCAAGAGAAAAAAAAAGTACACTGAGATGCTGATAAGGTTGCAAAGTTAGCCGACTGGTCAGGAACACCCAGGATGCTGTGGTTTTTTCTTTCCACTGTACCCCACCGCTGTTATAACAAAAATAAAAATGGAGGCAGCAGCCAAAACTAAGTTTGTTTCTGGGAAATGAGGTGTGGCCTCCTCTTAACCTTGGGGATTATTGTATTTGGGTTACAGCCAAGGAAAATACTGTATTTAAGAAAATGTTCTTTATACAATAATTTGGATAGATGTGTCAAGGGATATGAACCAGTGAGGTTCTTGGAAGTCAAGAAGTCCCTCAATACTTACCAAACCTCTTATAACCAAAGGACTGCACCTCCTCTTCATCAGCAAAGTCGTCTAGAGGGAAAACAAGGAAATAAATGAATTAATTGTGAATTAAAGATATAATCAACTACAAAATGAAGTTAAAGAGTAAAAAGAGACTGGGGAATTGACTCATATTATTACATAAGTATCTGAGCATCTAAATAATCTAAATAATTTCTAAAAGAAATCTGAAGTCAAGGTCCATTTACAAGCTTTTTTCCAAAGCTCTCATCAGCAGATAGTTTGCTCAGTTTTCTGCAAATTCAGAAAATCTTATCCTATGATGAAGACTGTGGCATGCTGTTGAAAGCTCCTGTAAAAAGCTGTGTCTGTTTCTAAGATCAAGAATGAACTTTCACAATCCAGCCCAAACCTACTGGTCTTCTATCCTGAGGTTGTATGGTTTCAGAAGTATCAATTGTTCTTACATGGTCACAATAAAACAACACTTGTTTCATCCCTGTGTTACTGAAGCTATTCTTTGTGCAGTGGTTAATATTAAACAAACAAAAGAAGCAACCCCCCCAGTCTCACTTAGTTTAGCTCAGCTCTTTTTCTTTGACTTTGTGGGATTAGTCCCATCTCCCATGGCCTGACGGGCCCTGAGTCTTGTCTCCTTTCAAGCAGCCTTTATGTCTGTGGGAAAGTACTTTGCCAACTTCAAAGCCTTTTTGTGCATCATCATCCACGGCCAGTACAAATAAAGAAACGCTACATGTCCCAAAGATCTCCAAGAAAATCTCATTTTATCTATAATGCTAAAAAGCGGTGAGGTGTGGCAGTGTGACAGCAATGGCTGCCCATCAGAGAAGTACACAAGAAGTTCTTTTAGCTGAGACAGTGTATTACAGACAGTTGATGGCTGCTGGGGTATTGTCTTTTTAGCAGTGTTTTGCTTATTTCTCTGTCTGGGAACTTTCAGAAAATATTGTTCCTGGAGCTTAAAACTGTAATAAACATCAGCGAGTCAGCAGACAGTACATCAGCAGACATCTCATGACAGCAGATGAGTTAGAGTTAAGAGGTGACAAGAACAAGCTTAAAAAAACAACAACAAAAAAAAAACAAAAACTGAAGCCACATTTGACTTCAGGAATGCGTCTTTCCCAATACCCCCAATACCCTGCTTCCTGTTGGTGCGTCCAGGATACATGATTGTGATCCATTACAATGGTAATGTTACTGTAAGTATGTTTGGCTTTTCAAGAGCCATTCAGGGAAATGGACTTCATCACATTTTACCCAAAGGGCTGAAAACTGAGTGGCTCTGAAAACAGATATGTGAGTCAAACTCAGGGTAATTTGGATTTTGGGATGAGCGTTGCTGTTTGGGGCCATGATACTTAAGAGGGATTGCTAAATGTCACAGGAATAGATCCAAGGAAGCGCTGATTTTCAGGTCAAAAGATATTTTAGCATCTTGGTTAAAACTGGGTTTGTTTTTAGACATTTAGGTTACACGTACTTCTTGATTAAGGACTATACTTCAACATACAGTTAGTCTTCAAGTCACACTGATATCTAGTCATTGAGCCCCTTCAAAAAGCTTTCCTTTTCTGAAAAAAATGTAACTCAGCTTTGGCCTAGCCATATTTTGGCCTGCAAATCACCAAATAATTGCTCCCTGTGATCGACTGATTACTAATATACATCAGTATCTTCATGAAATTCACCACAGACTATTGTGCTTTCCTGCATCCTGTAACATGTTAGTGTTGGTCCTTGTTGTGGCTCTTTGTCCATAATCAAACAAACAACATGAGAAAGCCACTGAAGCACCACATGAATGATAGGCAAAAGAAACCTGCTGTCCATAGAGAGGGAGCTTCAAATCTCATGGGCTTCATTAGTGGGTGAGCAAAGTCCATCCACTGATAAAGGCTTAAAGTTCCAGAAAATAGAAGTAAGTGGACCTTGAGATGAGATTTATTTTTGTCAAGCTACTATTTCCAGGATCAACAATGAACCTTAAAGCTCAACAGCTTTTACATGTGGTTTATCTGTACAAATAACAAAGAAACCATTGCCTCATTGCCTGCCTCTCTTGCTCTTGTAAAGAAAACACAATAGACCCTCGCAGGTGCAGACTGCTCCTACCTGCCTTCCACCAGGTAAACAAACCCAAAGTGTCTAAAGTGCTGCCATAATCTTATAAACCCAAAACAAAGAATTGAAGAGGGAAAACACTTTCTAAATAAAGCAGATCAATCAAATAAATAAATCAGATACTCCATAAATCAAAACAAACAAGCTCCTACAGTCCTCTATAAATAGCATCTCCTGCATCAAGACTCTCTGCACAGCTCCAATGAAGTCAATCCAGAACATCCCATTGCCTCTCACTGTAATTACAGTAGCAACAGGAAGTGGGCCATGCCACCTAAAACACAAGTTTAGTGTGAGAGCAGAAGATTAGTGTTCTAAGATGAACCACAAGGTGGCAGAAGTCATGTAGTGTTTATTCTGTGGAACTAGGGACCAGAGTGTTGTTGAGCCTTCAAGTGAGAGCTTTGACTGTGGGTGAGAAAGACACGCACAATGTAAATCCAGCGACGTCCAAAACATCGGGTCACCGCATGAGAATCAAATCTGGGCAACTGCACAAGCCCAATAAAAGCCTTTATTTTAAATCATGAGCCGTGACCACCATTACTCATGCACTTTTTGTTCTGTTGTGTTTCATCACAGCGGGCTGAAAAGCAGCAAGTCAGTGGATTTAGGGGTCCGGGACGCGTGCGTGCATCTGAGTGCGCACGGAGTTACACCACAATAAAGCTGTTCATGTAGGCAGCGGCATTAAAGTCTGACTCATTGTTTCCTTCAGAACTTTTGATTCCTTTAAGCCAAGACAAATGTGTCTAACAGCACAAAATAAAGAAGAAATCAATTTCAACACAGGAATACTTTCATATTCTATTCCTAATACAATATAAGTGACTAAGACTAAGTTGGTGGAGTTGCCCTCCTGTTTTGGCTCTGCTCAGAATAGTCTTCTGAGTGTAGGTTAGTGTTTGATGTGCAGGAGCGGCCAGATGCAAAACAATCCCAAACACAGTCCCATAATTGAAACCAGATGTCAGACGCGAGTTGTAGCCCACGCATTCCTCACGTCCCAGAGAGAGAAAGAGCGCAGGAAGGTGACAAAGAAAGAGCGAGAGGAAAAGTTGTACGAGCAGAAAATAGATCAAATTGTCACCATGCAGTGACACTGTCGAACGCGTTTCACATACTTTCTGCTTTTTGATGCCTCTAAATGAGCCTACCTTTCATTGTGGTTTACCAGACTCTACCGTTGTGAAACTGTTGTTTGAAGTCACATCCACAGCATCGCAATGGCATTTGCCCAAAATCTCCCGTTGAGCGCCACAGCAGCACAGCAACTTGGATCTGCGAGTATCCCACTATCCTCTGTTGTAGAGTAATAATAATAATTAAAAAAAAGTTTCAAAGCCCCATCCGCCGCTCTCACGGCTGGAGACGACCTCCTTCAGCGCAGGTAACGTCAATGCTGCGTCTCAGATGCTGCAGCAGAGGGAGGAATGAACTTTGTTCAAAGCGGGGAATGCAAGTAGGAGTTACAAAGTCAAGGAGAAAAGAAGCGCTCTTCTTATTGATGTGGCAGTTTGGAGAGATGCTGAGGTGAGAGTGTATCCTAGCCCAGCTCAGCAGTGTGACGGGACCCGCGGCAGTGACCGGACAAACTCAAACCAAAAAAAAAAAAAAAAAAAAAAAGTGAAGGAATCCTAACGTGAGAGGAAGTGGTGCACCCGTAGGGCTGCTCCGAGAAACCACGTGTTCCACATCTGAGCGCACCGTCTGCACCCCTGGTTTTCTCAGTGTGTGTGTGTGTGTGTGCGCGCGCGTGTGTGTGCGTAATTATTGCACAGAATAACGCTGAATGAACACCAGTAACAGCTGTGTCGCATCACACTGTTTAGACTTGTCTAGTATGGCACTGAACAGCAAACCAGCAGTTCAGAGGCTTCTCTATCAACAGGTTCCAGCTACTTGCACAACATGGGATTTTGTGGATGTCAAAATAAAAGCAGTCATGTGTTGTGTTTTGCAATTAGATTTTCTTTCACTAAAATCAAAACCGTTTCATTGATGCAGAATTAATTGTGATTGAATGTCAACAGTAGTGCCTATAAAGTTAAATTTTGTTCCCTCCTTTGCAGATTTAATTTTTATTTTGAAAGCATTGGTTGAGTCGGGTGGGTTAGAAAAGCTGTGTGGTTGCAGAGAAAGTGTAAATGAATGTGCAGGCTACTGAAATGTTCCAGTGATCACAAAGTGTCGGTTAACGAAAGAGGAAATCATAGATGTGCCCACAGAAGACACTTACACAAAGTCCCAAGTTCATTTATTTTTAACATCTGCTGTAAGGGACCCAGGGAGTTCACTGAGAAGCAACCTACCCATCATGCAATTCACAACTTGTCTCTCTAATAAGCCTTACTCATTTTAATTGGTGCTTCAATTTCTCACAGTTGTTGCAAGCTCATTATTGTATTTTAGACTGAGGCCATATGTGTTACAGATTCCATACACACCACTCCTGATCCCTCAAACAAAACTCAACACAGCTCTCAGAGCAGCGTTTAACTGCGCCATCCATTACATCTCACTCCTCTGAAGCAGTTTATCCCCTGCAAATGTGTATCTCTTCAGTCCAGGACTCTTTGATCAGCACCACAAAACTTAACACAAGACCACATCATGAGCTGGTTACATGGTACTGCCTTAGAAAGCCCTTTAAAACTCAACATGGAGAGATGGTTGACCATCAGATAATGTGGAAAAAAATAAGACATCATTTCAGCCTGTGTAGAGTATTTCTGCGACTTACATTTTGAGTGCTTGCATGCACTGTAGCCTCAAACCTTTTTATTGTCAACTGTTTTACGTTTAGGAACCATGGGAGAACACGGGGAGAAAGTTTCTCCCTGCAGTGTTATAGGAACCAGGTGCTGAAGGTGTCAGCGAGGATGCAGACCAGGCTGAAGCGCTGGCTGGTTTTGATTATTATCCACTGAGGACCCTATTTTCTGGGTCACAGCATGCAAAGAGGGCACATTTTTGAGGGAGATGGGGCACCGGTGAGGAGATGGGGACAGAGGTACCCTTTCACCCCGGGTCCCTCACATTCCATCAGGTATTGGAGACGCTAAACAGCCTCCTGCTCAGAGGAATGTTTCCCTTTACTAAAAATATCTAGATTCACATCTGGCTTATAGAATCTAAGAATAGCTGGTGGTAATCTAAATATGACAGACTGAAGTTACTGAAGTTATCCATCACTTGGTTTTACACATATGAATATGAATCAGTTGCATATTTGCTGTAGCTTTGTGTTCAAACGATGCCGCTCTGCAGCAGTAAGGGCTCTTGTGAGATCGGCACATGGCTCAGGTTCAGCAAAAACAATCTTCTCTGATCATGTGATCTCTTCTTATCTCCTCCTATAGGAGAGCTACTGCAAAATACATTGTAATAATCCCACATCCTGACAAAATCCACAGACATATCAAATACCAGAGACGATACGCTAAGTTCAAGTAGAGCTCAGTGTGATGTCACTGCTTCTGTGCATGAAAGGGTTTAGCCTTGTGTGGGTGTGTTGCATTAAGGATTTCCCACTGAGGGATAATTTGGGTGGTGATGTCAGCGCACTCAGCACCCATCCCACCATGGCTTATAGACACATTCATTTAACACGGTGCTATATAACAAACAATTCCAAAGCATGTTGCACATACACTTCTGTTTTACCAGGATTAATCAATATTTGCACTAAATATTTTTTTCTTAAATAAATTATGTCTTTAAATTAATGTTTAACGTATGTGTATGTGTTTAAAATCATTTTTTGGCAGAAATAGTGACTGTTTTGCCACAAGAAAACCCCTTCCTGCAGTTCATATGAAGGTCAAGATGGTGCCATATCAATCCTCTTGTGTACAGTTGAACCTTTTTGTTTCTCAAACTAATGATTATGTGTCTGATCTCAACTGTGCACAGACCGATATTTGGCTTCTGGACAAGTCTTGAGTGACATACGCCGTCACCCCTGTCACCACATGTCATCACATGTCAAATTAATCCTTTTTTCCGAGGTGTGAAGAGTATTTCTTATATGACTAAGCAACCTCTTATGCAAACGCACACCTCTCTGGCAGCGCGTCAAATGCTGGATTAAGGGGCATCAACATCAAGTAAAGACAGTAATAGGATGAAGCTCGTGTGGAAAGAGCACAAATAGACCTGGTCAAGATAACTTCATGACTACTGTCCACACAGAGCTCTTTGTTTATTCCTGCCGGTGGAGACGCAGCTTCACTCTGCTGGTAAGTTTCTTTGTTGTCATGGTTACTTTGAGAGATTGTTTTTAAAATATCTGTTACACCTTTGCTTTTCATATGTGTGTATTTGAATATTTCCTTACATGATGATGCACTTTTAATACACAGATAAATTAAAGTTGCAAATGATTTCTTAACATATAAATCACACATTGTGTTTGCTTGCATCTTTGTAATGATCAGTTTGATTTGTGTTATAATAACATCCATTAGAAGATACTGGTTTCTCAATTTGTACTTAAACTTATCTCAAATTCATAATTAAGCATTCGTGTATAGGTTATATACATTAAGACAATAAGATTCAGCTTCTTCATTATTTTAGCACTGTTATAAATCCCAGCCTAGACGTGTTGTGAGCGGGATATAATAGAGCTGATTGTCTAAGCAACTTAAACCCATAACAAAATAAGTCAAATGAGTACATCCCCATTTACTGTAAATCCCTGCTGGATGCCAACTTGTGCAACCCTCTGTGGCTGAACTGGGGCAGCGCCTCAGGTGGTAATTGGTTAACAAAATAGCAAAGTAAATAAACTTGATTTCAGGATCTTCTCAAGGTTTTATGTGTGCGAGTTTTAGTGAGCTGATGGCGCAGAAACCTCCCGACACAGCAGAGGGCCCAGACATAAACACAGCTTGCCAAGTTTTGAAGCTGAGGTGGAGCCTGTGATGTATCTTATTAGATGCCTCACACCCTACTGCTCAACTATTGATACTTAAAGAGAAAAAAAACAAGGGTAAAATTGTCCTCATTAAACATAGTGAATAAAAGAGCACACAGAAGCAGGGAAGTGAGAAGTTTTTTTTACAGTATTTGTGGAATTCAAATCATGCAGTGTGGACAGTTGAAGTGTTAAAAACAAAAACATAACAACAACATTCAAGACTACAACTTTGTCACAAATTGAGTAAAAGTAATCTGTAGGTAAATGCTGGAATCTGTTTTAAAGATCAGAATCTGATCATATAGTTTCTCTGTCACTCTGGGTTTACTCCGCACGCACTATTAAAGGTTTGCTGGAACACATCTTTGTCAAACCAACTAAAAATCAACTGTCCCCGGTCCAAGGAATGTCTGACATCAGATCAGATGTGTAGCACCACCAAGTGGCAGACCTACTTATGACCACGTACAGTATTGTTGATGTTTAATCATCCTTAAGCTCAAATCCTATTATCTTTCTGGATCAGATTAGACAGCACCTGTTGTTTTAGTTTCTTAATGCGAACATGAGTTCATGTATGTGTACATGTGCCTGTATGCAGACACACGACCTTTGTTGTGCTTGTCGTGTCATTTCAGACCAAATTTCTCTTTGCCCCCATCAAACACTGAGACTGAGCTCAACAATGAAGCTCCTGCTCAGTTTGGTGGTTCTGGTGGTGACACTGGGCGTCCTCAATTCTGCTCCTGAGGACCAACCCAAAGACATCTCAGAGGACACCTTGGAACGTGAGTTGGCACAGAGGAATCCAAATTTGTCTTGATCTTAGTTCCCTTGCAATCAATACCAACACAGAGCAAACAGTAGACACTGCAGTAGACACTACAGTAAGCACAGTGTCATATAATAGTTTGTTTAAAAGCTGTGTTATTGAACTAGGTTTAGATGTTTCTTTATTTTGTTCAGTGCCATAAAATCACACTGAAATAATTTACGAATTTGTTGTTGAGTCTACAACTTTTGCTACATTTCCTTTGCCTGTGAAAACTGTGGTTATGTAAGAGTTTATAAAGAAAACATCTCACCCTGGTTGTCCTCTCCGTTTCTCTCCCAGGGTTGTCCGTGGATGGTGAGAAACTCGTGGATGAGGAGGTGAGGAGAGCTCTGTATGGGGTGAAGGAGATGAGGGAGGTGATGTGGAGGAACGAGCAGAAACACGAGCACCTCATGAAGTCTCTGAGACACAGCAGTGACAAGAAGAGGGTAAGAGTGGCACTAACCTTTCCTTAAACAGACAGAAAGATTTAAAAAAAGAAAACAAAAAAAAACAACAAGGTGGAAAATACATGACATGTTCCTCCTTCTGCCACCAGGGGGCAGCCCAGCTGGCTAAGGAGGTGACAGAGAAGCTGGAGGAGGCAGAGGAGCAGTGTAAAGACTCCCTGCAGTCTGAGTGGGAGGCGTGCAGACCCTGCCTGGAGGATGCGTGTAAAACTTTCTACACCTCCACCTGCCGCAGGGGATTTGCAACTTTCCATGCCAAGGTATGAAAACTGCAGCGGCAACCTCAGCCATTCTTACTCTGACCTCCAACCTCCAACCTCCTATAAGAGTGTTACTGAAGAGTTGAAAACTTACCTTGTTTGGAATCAAATCCCTTCAGTCTGAGCTGCCCTCTCTCTGTTGACTGAGGTGTTTATTTCAGTCACACTTGACATTGACACACAGGAAAAGAAAGAAAAAGGAACAGCTGTCAGTGACTAAAATACATCTGGAAATAAGTGACAGGAGCAAAATTAATGACAGCACCTATCTAAATGTAAAACCACCAGATGTGCCACAGTGTGACCGCCCGGTAATTATCTTGCAACTCCCAGGTTAGGAGCCACACTCTTGGAAAACAGTAAAACAAACTCACTTTCATATTGTAGGTGGAGAATTTCTTCCGCCGAGTGTCCAGGCGTTTTGGCCCCCGTGAACCTCGCATGGACACGGGGGACATCCTGGTGAACCAGGCCCCCGAAAACACAGATACAGAGGTGGTCGGCATCGAGGACTCCTTCAACCGCCTGATCACCAAGGTGGGCACAGTGGTGAACCGCAGCGTCGCCCTGGTGTCCAGGATGAGCAGCAGGCTCGACAAAGTCCTCCAGAGAGCCTTCCTGAACGACACCAACGTCATGATGGAGGAGAGCACCTCTGATCCCTACTACCCAGGACGGGACTCTGGCTTCCTGCAGGGCGTGGGCCTGGAGGATGTGCTGGACTCCTTCTTTGACTTTGGCAAGAGTGTGGTGGAGGAATTTGGAGCCGTGGTGACCCAGGTGTTTGATGACCTCCATGCGGCAGTGGAGGAAGAGAAGAAGAGAGGTAGAGGGGCACAAATATGTCAGAAAAATACTAAAATGACTGCTATCTTTTGCTATATGTGCGAATTTCAGTGGTTGATATGATTGGATGGAGCAAAAAGCTGAAAATTCTTTAGTGTCAGTGGCACAGGTTTGAACATCTGTAATCTTAAAATCGCACCTAAACTTTTTCTCTGTGGTGTAGGGAGGGAAAGTTTCCCCCGTTTCCTGCAGAACCGCAAGTTGTGCAGAGACCTTCGCAAACAGACCTCAGAGTGCTGGCAGCTGCAGAGCCAGTGTGAGGTCTGCCAGGGAGCCCTGCTCACAGGTGAAGCACCACCACCACCACCCTCACACTCCTGATCATTTCAGCTGATACCTTCACACATCTCACCTTACCCATCTTCTCCACTGTTTCCAGAGTGCCCCAGTGTTCGTGAGCTGCACGTGGAGCTGGATGAGGTCTCCCAGCTGATGGACGTGTCCAAAGAGCAGTACGACGAGATCCTGTCCATTGTCCAGCGGCACACTGATGAAACAGTGAGCTGGCTCAGTAACATGGCTGCTGAATTCAGCTGGGTGGCTCAGGCTGTGAGCAACAGCAGCGCTCCTGAAAATATCTTCCGCGTCACCATGGTGAGCAGGAGGAACGAAAGGACACGGTATCAGTGGTTATGACAAGTACAGAATGAACAGAATACTTATTTTCTTGAAGACACACACATCTAAATGATTTTTTATTGAGGTTTTAACACTGAAAAACTGTGATCACACTAGATTGACAGTGGCCTGGTATCGTCTGCGACGGCCTTCAGAGTCTGATTCCAATTGACCTAAATATCAAATGGTACATTCACAAACTGGACATCACTTAGCTAACCTTATATTTAACTAAGGCATACCTACTTCAAACTGAAGAGCAATGCTCAAGACAAAAACACAAATACACCAATCAAATCAACTTCCCTTCTTTGGCTCATATTAACATGCTGACAACTTAGGTTTAATGCATACTGTACATTTTAATGACTAATATAAATACTTAAAAAATACACAAAAATAGGCCAGTCATACTGATGGGCTGGATAAAATCTGACAATACTTCCCCCGCTCTCCAGGTGGCACCAAAGAGCCACGATGAACAGAACGTGTCCGTCACTGACACCAAGGTGGAGGTGAACATCCTGAACTCTCCCCCACTCACCCTCTCTGTTCCCGGGGAGCTGGCCCTGCAGGACCCTGCCTTTATCCAGTATGTGGCCCAGGAGGCTCTGGACAAGTACAAGGAGATGATCAGGTAAGACATTTAATCCACTGATTCCAAAGAACTCAATGTCAGTAAGAAAAGGTGTCACCGTCACTTTTGTCCTTCTACAGATTTTCTTTTTTTTTTTTTTTTAAAAAGGCATGTTATCATTACATACTGAGCTTAAGGCAAAAGTGTGCTTGAAATTTCTGACATAAATACATTCTCTGTCTTTTCAGGTATGAGGATGAGTAAAAGTACAGTGCTACTACTGTTGTGAGCTTTTACCAGCACGTTCTCTGTGAACAGAACTAGATTGTGTTCCTGTGTAGTAGGCAAAATCTTGTTGAAATGTAAATACATTACAACTGAATGCTGCCATTTACTACTGTTTATTGAATGTAAAAAGAAGGCAAAGTACTTCTTACCTGTTCTCAATTGGTGTAAATAAAAACCAATACAAACCAAAGAAAGCGTGACTCCATTAAAAATGTCAAAATCACCGTCTCTTGCCAAGAAAACAAAACAGCTGAAGGAAACCTTTGAGTAAATCTTTTATTTTTTCTGTACAAAATCATATTAGTTACCATTCTCAGTAATGTCATTATTATCTCCCCGCTAGTTCAAGTCCCCGTCTTTAGGAACAATCAGATATTAGGTTCTCGTGAGTGACGCACAGAAAGAAAAGACAAAAAAAATGTTCACATCTTTGTCCAATTCTTGAGCTTTCTTGCTGAATTCTATCTTCTCAAATCTCTCATCACACACAGTGGAAGAACTTCTAAAAACGTGTTAAGGGACTTTTGTATTCTCAATCTCTGTAAAAAGCACTCAAGCCCCGTCTGGACCACAGTGTGTGCAAGGTGTTTATCCTTGTCTGCGTCTAGTTACTTTGTTCCAGAGGTGATCCACCAATCGCCTCTCCATCACTGGGAATTGAAATTATAAAACCATAGAGAAAGCTCCACACACTGCAAACACCATTCAAGACGTTGCGGTAAACATCACTGGATGGCTTTGCATAGTCGCATTTACAAATGAAGAGATTTGTTTTGCGTAGTTGTTGGCTTTGGATATAACTTTCCCTCCAGCAGACACAGAACTAAGGACACTGGTGTTTAGTCATGGGTTGGTGGGATTTTACTGAGAAGAAGAGGAAGAAATCCTACAGCTGCATGTATGATTTACATGGTGATGTGAACCGAGTAGATCCAGCAGTTCCCCGTACCATCAAAAAAATGGGATGACTCATCTGCTGCGACGTTTGACTGTGTGGATGTGTGCGATATAAAGAGAACTATGTTAAGAGTCCATTTACAGCAGAGTTGTGCAACAAAGAAAAGACAAGATGCTAACTTCAGATTAAGTTTCACAGCTGAAGTGTCCATTTCAAAACATTTATAAAATGTTAAACTGTCTTACACCTGTAAAATATCAAAATACCTCTTTATGATTTCAAGTCCCCAATTTAAATGAAAAAAAAAAAAAAATACAAGTGTAATAAACTGATGTGATTTCCCATTCAAGTGACTGAGTTAAAAAGAATCATGCAAATCACTTTCATATTCTCATTCGTCCACCTGATCACACCTGCTAAAAATACTTTTTTTTTTGCACATACTGTATGTACATCTGGTTCGATCTCTCAGTACATTCTTGCATCCACACAGTTCACCTTTTTTCATATACTTCACTTCGCCCTTCTCCATCAAAGCTTTACAGTCACGGCACATACTCGCAATTCAACCACAGTTGTTGGTCACTTAAAAAAAAAAAAAAAAACATACTCATCAACCTACATATTCAAACCAAACTCATGTACATATAAAAGATCTTGACTCCAATATCAAAGAATTGTGTTTGTAAAATAAAATAAAATAAAATAAAAAGGGGGAATTGGAGCAGATAAGGGAAATTTATCATTTAAAAAAGTAAAAAACTGTGCATCTGCAAGTAGATTTGAAATTAGGAGGAAATCCCTCTCTTATTGATCACAGTGTTGTGGCCAGTCCATATGGATTATTCTGATTAGCAGGGTTCCCAGAGCTTAACGTACCAGCATCAATCTGCATACTTGGACACTTCCCCGAATATTTGGTCCCCAGGTAAATACAAGGGACAAACCTCTACTTCAGAAAACACTTTGTCTTGCATGTGCAAGTATGCCAGTGTGGTTGTGGACTAGTTTGGAAAACCTCTTTCTCTGCAGCTTCAGCAAGGCCTTCGCGGCCTCGTTGAACTTCTCTGTCGTCCCAAGTTTTGATCTCAGCTGATGTACCTCTCTGTAGTGCCAGAGTTCGCCCCCCAGATACCCCAGACTAGAGGTTGTCCCCTGGCTGGTACTGTGGCTCTGTGGCTGTGAAGTAGTCTTCCAAAAAGGACTGGATGTACTCGAATGTGGGTCTCTCATCCGGCTCCTTCTTCCAGCACTGCCTCATCATCTCATGAAGAGACTCGGGGCAGCCCTGGGGGCACGGCATGCGGTACCCTCTTTCTACCTGCTCAAGTACCTCTCGATTAACCATACCTAAAAAGAAAAAAAAAACAAAAAACAAAAACCACAAAATATGATGTAAATGAACTGCAGAAATTTTGGAAGTTGACAAATACAACTTAAATGAAAAGCTAATCTCACAAAAGACCAACAACCCATGAATTTCTTTTGATTTAACATAATCATGTCAACGTCACTCTGTCGGACGTCATACTTATTTGTTCTGGATTTTACCAAAGTTTTGTGGTGAAAAAGGAAAGGGTAAAAGTTTTAATTAAGGAAACAACCCAGTGTGCAGCCTGAGGCAGCAGAAAATGTTTGCATCATGCAGTTTACAGAAGGAGAGTATGCCCACGCAAACACGTCAAAGGAGAAAAAGAAATCCTTTGTGAAAGTTGGGTCATTATTTCCTGTAAGACTTGTTGACAATATGTGGTTAAAACATATAGAGGGCAAAAACATTGTTAGTGTTCTGTAGAAATAAAATGTGATCAGAAAGTAAAATGTCCCAGTGTTCTAGCAGAGCGAATTTCCATAGGTAACATCCGTGTACTTGGTAAGTGTTTGTAAATGACAGAGATGACTGTTTATATCTAAAGATTGCCAGTCTCTTCACTCATCAACTGCAGTAATTTCAAACAAAACCCAAACAGTACTGCATCATCTTCTGGCCTCTTCCTGCCCCGCTGGAGCACCAGAGTTGTGGATTCCTTCCCAAGACAGGAAGACAGGGATCCTGAACCCTGTGACACGGCGCAGAAACAGCTCCATGGGGAGCTTAACTGCAGCTAAAAGAGGTTATGACACCGAGTCAGTGGTCGTGGTCATAGCTGCATCCTCCCCTCCTCTGCTCCTTCAGCCCCCCCCCCCCATCTCTCTGTGGGAGAGTGGGGATCAGATTATCTCACACTCGGAGAGAGGAAAGGCCCGCAGCAACTGCTGAGACCGTGATACGGTGGCGGTGGTATGGCAGATGTCGAGGTGTTAGCGTGATTTATGTCTTGGGTCTGAAATCCTCAGCTCTAATGACATGCCTGTCATATATGTGAGTGTGTGTAGGTATCTATATATACACAGACTAGGATAGAATAAGATGATGCGTTCCCATGCAGATGCTTGGTATACCTGCCTCCTACTGCTGCTTCCACGCTATCAGGGAATAGAAATAGAGCTCCTCAAAAAGACCACGGGACAAGAGCCACAAATGTCCAGTGAGTCATAAAACAGTTTTGAGAAGGGGAAGGAGGGGGTTCAGTCTCTGCGGTGAATTAATTAGACTGAATGGTTTGCACTGAAACCAAGACAACCATAGGAGCCAGATGGCCCTCTACAAGAGATGGTGGTTAAGTCTGCCATATGGCGCACACTGTAATCAGTGCCAGTCAAACCCTGTCAACACCAGTCCTGCTGCAGTACCGCTCAGAGACAGCAGGGGGCAGACGCGAGGAGGCAGATGATGGGGCGGGTAAGGGGGTACTTTCCCATGTACTGTTAAGTCATTAGACATCTGCGTTGACTCATATCATCTATATGCTGAACTATTCTGATCTGCCTGTGTGAGAAAATGCTATTAAAAGCTTCTGAATTAGAAACAGCATGTCGGAATAATCCTGAAGCAAAGATGAATGAATTATTCCCGTGAGGAAAATTTGACAGCACTCCATTCATGTTCTTTGGGACCAATGTATTCTAGACAGTGGGGAACTAAAAGAACAAAAAAAAAAAGGAAAAGGAAAAGGATGCCTGCCATGTAAAGTAAAAACACATATCTGCTGAGCTCCTATCTGTGCAGCTCTCATCCTCACCTGGGTATGGTACTCTGCCCTTAGTCACCAGCTCAGTCAGTAGTATACCAAACGACCAGACGTCTGATTTGATAGTAAAGCGGCCGTAAAGAGCAGCTTCAGGGGCTGTCCACTTGATGGGGAATTTAGCACCTGGTGAAGAAGAAGGGAAGAATCAAGCAGGAGGAACAGGCTTCGAAGTGATCAATGTGTTGATGTTTATGTTTATTTTCTTCATGGATTAATGAAAGGCAGAAAATGAAAAGGCAGCAAATTCTGAGTTTTGATTTATGAATCCAGGGAATGTTTAGTGTTTTTCCTTTAAAAAAAAAAAAAGAAAAGAAAAAAAAGAGAGAAATTAATTGGCGATTCATGTTCCATTGATGGACTTATTGATTAATCAACTAATCTTTTCAGCTTTAAATGAGTAAAACATTGTGGCCGAATTAGACAGAACATATGACGACAGAAATGTGTGTCAGCATGTGCTTCAGTTCAAGTAAGGATCAAATGTCGGTTCCTAAAAAGTGAGGGCGGTAGGGTTGTTAGGGCTGTAACAATTATTTACATTATCAATCAGTTGAGTTGTTTTTTAATCAATAAACAGTTTGATCTACAAAATGTCAGTAAATAGTGAAAAAGCCCACAACACAAAGACATCCAGTCCATCCTACCATCCCACGAGTGAGAAGCTATAACAAGAGAAATTTGCCATTTGTGCCTGGAAAATTAAAGACCAATCAATCAATCAATCAATAAATCAATCAATCAATCAATTATTTGATTTAGCTCTAAAACCAGAAGTGTTAGGCTGTAATGGTGGTATGGAGTTGAACTGAAGGTACAGTGCAGGCATTAAGTATCAGAATAACTTGTGTTGTCTATTTCGAACAAGTTCAGCAAATACGTCCAGTTCTGAACACAGACAGACAGACAGACAGACAGACAGACAGAAAGACAGAAAGACAGACAGACAGACAGACACACCTTGTCTGGCGGTGTACTCGTTGTCCTCGATGAGCCGAGCCAGGCCAAAGTCGGCGATCTTACACACCAGGTTATCGGCCACCAGAATGTTGGCAGCTCTCAGGTCCCTGTGGATGTAGTTCATCCTCTCGATGAAGGCCATGCCGTCTGCGATCTGGGATCAGATTGGACAGAACAGACCAGGCACAGAATAGCGTCAGTATGCAACCAAATTAAAACTGTCACAGAAGGCCAATTTTTAGCTTTGAATAACACTGATCAAGACTGGTCCTTCATTCATGTTACATTTGACCCTGATTTTAATGCAGACGAAAATACACAAAGCCACTAAAAAAAGATTATCAGCAACTGTGACAACAAGAACAACTGGATAAATCTTTAACACATCTATCCAGCGCCTCCTCACACTGGCTGTCAACTCCCTGAGAGGCGTCTCAGGGTTTCAGCCTGCCTCAGTCTAATTCTCAAACACTTTTCCACTCCGCTGAGTGGGGAGCGGAGGGAGCCCGGGAGTGTGGAGAGGTGAATTAAGAGCAGATCACAGTAGGTGACTGAACCAGGGAGCTTAAGTGGCCTCTGATGAGTGTTTAAGTGCTACAGGCAGTTAAGTGGTGGAGAACGAGGGGAAGCACATACAGCGGTGAAGGGGGGGACGGGAGGGGAGGGGAGGGTAGAGATGTCAGGTTGGATATTAAATAAATATGAGAGCCAGATGGAGAACAAAATGAAACCCTTATTCACAGATACTGAGTATTTGACTCATAACACAACTACACACACTTATCCACACGGAACTCATCGTTTTACTGCTGATGCATGATAATCCTTCCCTCGGACCGAGTTAAAACAGGAGCTGGGCAGGTGAAGGGGCCCAGGCAGCTGCCGCGCCTGTGTTGATATTCAAATGCTGAGGTTTGTTCCTACCTGTGAGGCCATGTCCACCAGCTGCGGCAGCTTCAGATATTTGCCATCTCCCTCCTTCAGGAAGTCCAGTAAACTACCTGTCAAGAGATAAGAAGAGTACTGTCAAGCAGAATCAATACATCAAAAGTAAATGAAGCATCACTTGAGACAGCGGTTCAGCAACACAAATACAAAAACAAAAACAAAACAACAAATCCACTTGGAGGCAACATGACTGTTAGCATAGACCATGAGAGGCTTTCTTCATTCAGCTCAGCTGTTTTGTCTTCTACTTCAAATAGGAGTTTCAACACAGTTCAACTGTTTATTATATTTATATTACTAGAGGTTACAATTAGTACATCAACAGGTTTCTTCTCAGGATTCATATTTTACCAAAAATGATTATGACTGATGAAATTTAATCATGGGTGAGTGGTTACAGTTAAAGCTATGGCATATCCCAAGTTTTGCATTTATTACATGGAACTCCGTCACTTTATCTCATATACATTTTTAAATTTCACTGTAATTTAACAACTGCATATAACAACTTGAAAATTAAACCTGGTTAATTTGCCGAGGACACAGTGCTATGTGAAATCTGTGGGCTAATTAACAGAAGCACTGAAATGGGCGTTGAAACAGATTAGGATTTATTCTGCTTTCCATTTGAACTGCAAAGTGGGAATTTCTGACTTCCCTAGTCGAAAAATACCAACTGAAACCTCACCAGCATCAACTTCAAAATCCAAGATGGCTGCTCTACACATCAACAGAAGTGAAAGCTGTAGTAACACACTTTTCGTTGGCACCTCTGTCTTACTTGTGTCTCATTAAATCAGTTGTACACACACTACTGTTCAACCTCTGTTGCTACGGTGTTAAAACCACGTAATGTGTTGTTATCCACTGGTACTGCTAACAATAACAACAAGCAAGCAACAATAACTGGAATTCAGCATTAGGTATAAGGCCGGAGCGGCTAAAGTCAGATTAAAGAGGCCATTCTTGGTGCAGCATCATCACCCGGATAGTTTGGAAAGAAGCTGTGAGGTAAGGACTCACACTCTGAGAGCTCTGAGAAAATCTACATTAGTATTCTGTTGTTACATTGAACCCCTATTGAAAGACTCTAGTGGAATAATAATTTGTGTCTGATATGTTTGTTCCACATGAAACCTCAAATAAAAAAAATAAAATAAAATAATAATAAAAACACCTACACAACTACTCCTTTTTTCTTTTCTCTTCTTGTTGAAAAGTCCAAAATGTCTAGAATGCAAATAATGTTTCTTATCAAAAGTTTAACTGCTTGAAACAAGATGTTTCCTACTTCACTGAGAAGTCGCTTCTCAGTATAAGTGAACTGGAGGTTTCAAGTTACCACATCAAACTTGTGATGTCACGAAATGACTCGGAGAAACTTTCCTTCCTCAGCATATGAATGTGAAAACAGCCTTTTTGTGTCAAACTCTGAACGTACATCATTCTGCACAGAGAAGCTCCAACAACAAAGTGAAGGAACAAGAAGCGAAAAAAACAAACAAAAAAACATTTGAGTGGAGGGGGGCTTTAAGGTAATGATAAAAACTGAGTAAACAACAGCTAGTCTGGTTTTGGTGGGTTTATTCACGCCTGAAAAAGATCAGTAGTGCAATCTACAGAGTCCCTACTGTGTAGGGATTTGTGTAATCAACTTTCTCTCATTGCTATCAGTCAATCAATCATGTGGCAAGTGTTTGTCTCTTTGTGTACGTCTGCGTGCAGCTCTGTCCTCACCTTTGCCCATGAACTCGGTCACGATGTAGATGGGTTCCTCAGACACCACAGCGTAGAGAGGCACCAGTTTGTCGTGTCGCAGCTTCTTCATGATCTGAGCCTCCTGCAGGAAGGCCTCTGGAGACATGGTGCCTGGCTTTAGGGTCTTGATCGCCACCTTGGTAGTGCCATTCCATGTGCCTGAACAAAACAATCACTCATGTTTGAAATACACCATAAACCAAGGTGTCATTGAGGAAATCGTTCATCTAAGACACTTCCAGTTTATTAAGTGGCATACACTGCAGAACTAAAACACTGCAGGTGCATTAAAATACTTTTTCTCTCCTTTCAAGTGATTGAAATGTCAACCTAAAATCAACCTCCAGTGATCTCTGGCCGTGCTCCCATGTGTAAAGAGCAGCTCGGGAGAGAGAGAACATGACAGCTTAAATAATCAGCCACTTCCTGGTTGAGAGCCACTTACTCACGCCCTGCTTACATACAATGAGCTGAGGCAGGAGATCTACTGCCTCCGTCACAAGGCTGACCTTCATGAATGAATCATACTGAACAAACTGCTCCCTCACACAGACAGACACACACACACAGACACACACACACAGACACAGACACACACACACACACACACACACACACACACACACACACACACACACAAGCTGAGAGACAAAGTAGGGCAATGATAATATCTAATAATAATATGAGAGCAGTGGAAGCTGATGCCACAGGCAAACATTATTTGTTTAAAATAAACACACGTGAGTGAAGTGGGGATTTTCAGTACAGAGAGCAGAATACCCATCAAGAACAAACAGTGCAGGGAGAGACAGAGAGAGGGATTCCTGGGATTGCACAGTGGAGGCTTGCAGGTCGAGGCTCGCTCTAGGCCATGCTTAATGAAAGGCTGAGTGATGAAAGACGAGTCGTGTTCGCTGAAAAGGCCCCCGCCTCGCAACCAGGCTGGAGAACTGAAGCGTAGGAGGTGACCTGTGATTACTGAGCTCTGTCTGTGTGTGTGTGTGTGTGTGTGTGTGTGTGTGTGTGTGTGTGTGTGTGTGTGTGTGTGAAACCAACATCAATCAGTAATCAGCATTTACATCAGTATGTGGGCCAGTGTGGCAGCACAGCGAGCTCTTTACTGAGGTCACTTGCACTCCATTTTGTCCTAACATGAGTCATTCCATAAACTAACCCGGCTCTCATGCGTTTAATACATCTGGATTGTTTTACATTACATTTACAGCACTTATGAATAATGCACAGCGGATACTTTGTTTCTGTATGTAAGCCCTAATGGCCATGTATGTATACTTACGAACATAAACTTGTTTTTACTGTTTACTTATTCATGAGTGTGTCAAACACCCGTACTACAGAGTGTAGATATGCATGTGTGTTGTTGCCATAGGATGTACTGCATGTATGAAAAATGGATGTCGGAGGCCATGGACTAATCCCTGTGTATCTTTGGAGGACAGATCCTGAGGCCATTCATCCCTCAACAGCTGCCATCGAGTTTCCATCTACATCAGCAACATCAGGCTTCCATACACTACACTCTGCCGACACATTTCTCACACATATGATTCGTCATGGGGGCTTTTACACATTGTCAAGGGCAACTTTCATGGCAACAACTCTCTTTCCTTCTCAGTTTGTGTGGAATGAACAGAGGAAGTCACACAGAAGCCCTGACCCCTTTCTAGGCCCAGTCACATAGGCATTTATCAGAAACGTTCCTGTAGGAAATCTGTTCATTTCAATAGGATTGCCACAATCAGTGGATTCTGGAGCTGAAATTATTAGTCAATCATTAATTTAGTTGACCAGCACGAAAGTAATCAGCAAGAATTTTGATTATCCATGAATTTTTATGTTTTTTAGAAGGTCCAGATTTCTCTGGTTCCTCTTCAACGTGACGATTTGCTGGTTTTCTTAGTCATCTATAATGTTTAAACTGAACAGCTTAAAGCAATATTAATATATCAACTTGGGCTTTTATTAATTTTTCTATTCTCTGACATTTTATGGATGAAACTACTTCAGTGATTAATCTAAAAAAATATTCATCTGATTTATTGTTAATGAAAATATAATTGACTTCAGCCCCAAGTGGAATCACTTGCAGAGCTCAAGGAAAATCACACAGTGTTGTCATGGGGACCACATGCAAAACGTCTTGATGGTGCTGATCTTTGAGGGAATGGAGAAAGTCCAAAATATCCTGATATATGATATTAGCTGTGTTCTACTGTGTAATTGTATCTATCCTTCATCTAATGGATTATAAATGGCTCCACAAAAAAGATGGTGGTTTGCAGCCAGTCATTAGACAGGAGTGAACTGCATATATACTGTGCTTTTACTGAGAGTTAACTGTATTGAAAAATTGTCCAGTTGGTGTGTGAGAGCGCAGCTCATATCTGTATCACCAAAACAGATACACTTATGCTAAAAGCTTTTGTGGGTGGGATGAGTGGCCCAGATGTTCATTCAAAGACCAACTTACAAGACCATATGCACGGCAAACGTGTGTGTGCACGTGTATCTGAAACACACTGTATATTGTGTGCTGGAGTAGAGTATTTGTCTCTCACCCATCCAGACTTCTCCGAAGCAGCCCTGGCCCAGTTTGACCTCCAGTCGCAGGGACTCTCGTGGGATTTCCCAGGCATCCTTAGCTAGTCCCTGAGTCTGAGGCTTCACCGTGGGACACACAGTCGTCAGCCTGTAGCACAGACCGTCCGCGTGCTCTGGACAGAAAAAGACACGTAAAGACACACAGAGGAGGAATGAGCTTTAAGTTGGAGCTTGTCAGTGATCAGCCTGCTTATTCACACCAGCAGCCCGTTCAACAAAAACGCAACCACTGAGTCGTGGTAAGTGCATACACAATCCTAACAGGAAGCAGAGCCACACTATAGTATGAGGACTGCAGAAGTGATGAATTAAATATTACACTGCTACATGACAGCTGTAGCACAGTGAAGTCAGTCCTCACAGAATAAGCATTTATTTTTTCTACGTTCTCCTCCAGATATGCTTCAGTGTTCTGGTTATGTCACCTAAATGACGTGAACCATGTTGAACTTAAGAATTTCATTTAAATTATAGTAAAGAACATGAGGAACAGGGTGTTTGTTATCCAAGCCTTTTCAGACACAGCCATATAGCTGACAACTTTGTCAAAGGTCATTTGACTTCTGCACACAGAAAAAACAGCCTGTTATGCTCAACCGCTTTACAGGTTATATACATTCTGCATATGAGGCCCATGTTTCTGCACGACTTCTCAATTATTCCCGACTTGTGTCCGGACTTCATAAGGCCACACTTAAGATGGATATGAAGGAGAGTGGAGCTTTCAGTGTAGCATGAGCGCTGCAGTGAGTGAATTACATGAATTATGTGGAAGGGAGCAGGGCAGGGTCAACAACACAAGACCAGAAATGAAATGTTAAAGTGTCACATAACAAACATCCTCTTGTTTATTGATCCTGCTTCTAGGAATTGGGCTGTAGTCTTCCAAAGTTTTCAATAAACAGTTTGTCTTGCGTGTGTTTACATCATGCAGACGCCTTCTTGTGACACACCACAGGGGGATTTTTAAAGAAGAGCTGCCTGCGCATAAATATTATGCAGATTACAGCAGGCTTAATGCTGCTTTTTCTTTCTTTCTTTTTTTTTTTTTTGAAATCAAATTTCTTTTTTATTCATGCTTCTTTTGGCTTAAGTCTCACATGGTTTAGCTTTTTTGGGGACTTTGTCATGAGCTGTGACCGTGTCAGTGAAGATACCGCTTACAACAGAAGAGAAAAAAGCCTCTGTTAAACATATTCAATAACATATCCCAGCAGCAGATCTGCAGCTGAATAATGCATTTCCCTCTGCCAGCGCTGCACTCGTCGGCTGGAATATCAAAAGAAATAAGAGCAGGGAGGAGGGAACTGCTTGTACTGCAGAAAGCCTTCAAAAAGACAACAAACCCCAAATGACTTTTTTAAACATGTTTGCCCAAATCACGTAGTCCACAGGTTCACATGAGTCTGAACGGAAAAATAACCAACTTGCTCCTGGAGCTGGAGGATGTGTCCAGCTGTAAACATCAATTTGTCTAAATGCTACCTACAGTAGATGTGGACGGGCCGCATACCTGTGTAGTGTTTCACCAGCTTCTGTAGTGTCTCAAACTGGGCCCGAGTGGTGATGTAATAACCACCGTTGTCCAGCTTTCGGATCTTATAGTGTTTGACGTTGTCTCCCTTCACCTCGTCCCAGTCCCGGATAGAAAGAGAGTAAGCACCTTTAAAAAAACAACACAGGAAATATGTCAGATTGCGCAACACATAAACCAAAAGAAACTCAAAAACGACAACAAATAAATAAGAGAATACTCTTGATGTCTAACATACATGAAAAAATTTTACTTTGTGCCATGGAAATTCACATAAGACTAACATAAATTAACCTCGTCCCTGGCCCAGAAAAAAAAAAAAAAACCTTGTCCTCTGTGTTTCATATTAAAAACTACAGCATTATTACCATCATGTCTTGCTCTCAAAGAATAAACCCTCTCACCTTTGGTCGTCTCACTCTCTCGTGCCAAGAAAGTTCCCCGCTGGTTCCCTGGAAGCAACAACAAACGCTCAGCGTCTTTGCGGCCCATTTTACCAAAGTACCATCTGCCAAAAGAGAGACAATCACACAGTCAGTCACAGATGGAGCTCTCGCTGTCATACACTGCACAACAAGTAGAACAAGATCTTCTTATTCATGCAGTGAGAATATGACTGGTGATGTGATTGTTTAGATGTTGGAGATTTGGAAATTCTCTGGTTTCATATGAAACTAGTAAATGCCGTCATGATACTGCCAAAATAAACATTGAAGACATAAAATATGTTGGATGTTCGTCAGCGGATCATTAAACATCAGGAATTTTTATGTGGTTCTTATGTGGTTATCTTCAAGCAACAAAATGGCTTAAAATCTCATTCAATATAAATCCAATTTTAATTCAAACCATACTATTCTCATTATAGCTTACTGCTAACTTTGCTCCAGGCGGTAGCTTATTCCATTACATATAAAAGACCCATAAAAAAAGTTCATCACAATCGCGATGAATAAATAAGCAAAACATTAGCTCATGGCTGTAAACAATCTTAGAATTTAGCTTTTCTTCTTTAAAAAGAAACACCTTCTATTTCCAGAAATCCCTACAGGCCCCGTCATGTTCGAAACGAGCTGAACTGTCTCACCTCACAGGCATATTCTGTTTTCAAGACGAATTTTGCGAAGGCCCCAGAAATCCTATCTCTGTCAATAACCGGTACTCGCTGTTTTAGACGAAAGGCAAAGTTAACTGGCGGGGTTACCCAGTGTTTTATTTTTGATGAGTAGCTTGTATTAGTCAAATATCCATCAGCCAATCAGAAACCAGGTCAAAACTGTCTAAAAGCAGCACAGTCCCTTAACATTTCTGTCACACCGGTTGAACAGCAATGGGAACACCAGTGGCTCGCAGTGACAATACAGGACTCCATTGTTTTTAGACTCTCTGCCATGTCTGTGTGATGGGTTAGTCACAGTGTGTGACCGCCCAGCCGCATCATGTCGTCTTAATCAGAGGAGGGTGAGAAACAGGAAAGGAATGAGAAGGAGAAAATAAAAGCGGAAGAAATTAAAAAAGGTTAGAGAATGACAGCGACAGGAACAGATATATTGTTAGAAAAGGGCAATGAGTTCTTACTCTTCAGCCTGTATGGAGTCAGCGGGAGCCACGTAGTTACTGGGGATGTAACCTTTCTGTCCGGTGTTGATGGAGCGAGCCTCCCACCAGTCGCCTTCCCTGAAGAGAGAAGTCGATTAGAAATCACAAGCACGCAAATGCATGACTGAAAAATATACCTACTCTGAAAACAAGATTGATGGTATAAAAGTAAACAAAGATAAAGAAGGAATAAGCTTAATTTACGCGCCATTCAACCACGTGAGGAGTCTGACTAATCATGTTGGGGGCGTTGTTAATAAACCATGTCAAGCAGTCCACAAAATGTATCAAAAGTAGCAGACCCTTGACTGATGCATTATTAACATCGTTAATACTGATGAATGAATGCATCTCTAATCTTTATTTTTTAGTCAGCCCTGTGATAACGTGACGACCTGTCCAGGGTGCACCTTGCCTCTCACCCAGTGTCAACCTGTATTGGCTCCTCTTTAGGTTTCTCTTGACAACTCAAACATCTGGCCTTATTGCTTTTTTGTGAGGCATCACAAGCCGGATAGGCTGAGGAAAACTCTGTTTAAATTGTGACCAATGAATTCTGTGAGGTTATCTTATGTGTTTGTATGTAAAATCTTAATCTGAAAAGTAACTACAGCTGGTAAAAAGGTAGCAAAGTGAGAAATACATTTCCCTCTGAAATGTAGTGCAGCTGATGCAGCAGAAAAGGGAAAAACTCAAGTAAAGTGAAAGTACCTTAAAGCAGTCCTTGAGTAAATGAACTTAATTACTTCCCATCACTTAAGTCAAGTAACTGTAAGTAATTGAAAAGAAGATGATAAATGCTTGTGGATAGCAGGCACAGTGTAAAACCACTTAAAACTGACTTTAAACTATGCTCAAAAATGTTTTGTGCTCCATTTCCACAGTTCCTGGTGTGTTTTACAGCAGATATGTGGTTTTAAACTCAAAGGAGGGGGAACTGAAGTAAAAGGAAAATCTGTCTACTGGCATTTTTGAAAAACTGAGCAAAATTGTCCTCCTCCCACCTCTCCTCTGCAAGCAGATGGTAGCTTCATTGCTACAAAATGCAATGTGAACACAGACAGTAGTTGAAGTCAGTACATGATGGATGAGGGCAAGAAAATTTGTGGAGCACTTGGAGCTCTGCCTAATTTCACACCTGTTTACACCTGGGGAAAAAGATGATGCTCTGCCAGTCGGCAGTAAGGAACGAGTAGAAAAAACGTAATTATAATTTACTGCTATTGCCTTTTATACTACAGCAACAGAACATCACTGAAGATACTGTGGAGAAAATGATCACAAATAATGATAAGTACCACAGATGCCACTAGGACAAACAAGAGCACAGTTTTGGCTTTGATTCCTGCAACAATTGAAATTTATTGTTAAAAAGACAAGAAGTAAAAAATGAATTGTTCTTCTCATTATTCCCCTAATAAAGAGGGAAAGTGAAGAAAATGAGCAATGGTTGAAAACGATAATTGAATCCATGATATTCTAATGAGTCTGACCTTCAGGCATATTTTCAGTGCACCGTCTCTGAATATAGACTCTGTAAATATTGTTAACACATACATTTATTTAGTCCTTCACTAAATGCTGGAAAAGTGGTACATTTCACTGTATCCAAAATATAACTCACTAAACTGGAGGACAGATCTGTGGCGGGAGAAAAACGATGGAGCTAAACAGATGGCCCATTAGAGGAACCCATTAACCCAGACAGATTTCAGCCTTAATATGAGACCTGAATACAATGTGGGATTAAACACACACACACGCACACACACACACAAATGGAAGGTCACCGCACAAACACAACCACATACACACACATCCACGCAGCTGGAGTTGGTCAGTGTAAAAAGCAAATGTACTCACGTGTTGTTGATAATCTGGAAGCGATCCCCTTTTTTGAATGACAGATCATCCGACGTCCTCGCTTCGTAGTCGTACAACGCTACGAAAAATGTCACGCCACCTGAAAGTCAGAGAAACTGCGCCTTAGAGGTGTGCACATACCACAGCTAGTTCATCCCACTGAGCCTCAAATAGCTGCGTATCTGATTCCTTTAAAATCGACACAATAAATGAAAACAACACCCACCACCTTGGACCTCTAACACAGACAACAACATCCTCGTTTTGATTCTCTTGTTACTTTCATAATATTTTACACTTGACTCAAGGTCTCATTGAGTCTTATCTTAACACATAATTATCAAACAGATAAACAATTATGCTAATATAATTCAAGACTGTATCACGGGAGGACCAACTGTGTTTCTTTTGAAATGTCTCACTTCCTGCACCTCAAAGCCCGGACTAAAAATACAACCAGCTCAACCAATGTGGATACCAATATATTTTTTCAATGAATCTCAACCTCTGTGGTCAAGTCAGTGAATGAAACTGATGTATATCATTTTGTATATCATGAAATGAGCAGATTTGTCCCTGGTCTTAAGTGACAGAGCACAGACGGACAAAAGGACTGGGATGCATTTATCTTGAGGAGGAAATTGAACAGGCAGGATTAGATCTGCAGGAGCCCCTCAGGCCAGATTATCCTCCTTTAAGGAGCGAGAAAGGGACTGAGGGATGTGTGTACAGGTATGCCTAAGTGTTTGCATGCATGTGTGTGCCTTAAGAGGAAACACCACTCTTGTGTGTTGTGTACTTTTAATGTATACTTTACCCATCCAATCAATGATGTATTAACCAATTGCATGAGATTACTTTTCCTGTCACCACAAGTCATCTTCATCAGCAACAAATCCGGAAATAAAAAGTCAAACTCTTGTTGGAAATAAAAACTTTGAAAGGTGAATAAGTGAATTCAGTGTGTAATTGTTTCCTGTGGCTCAGGAGACGCCATGCCTGCCGCATTGCTTCCTATATTACAGACCTATTTTGGGTTTCTGTTCGGCCTTGATGTTTTGGCTGACTCATTTCAAATGTCTAATTTGCATAACATCTGCTGCTCATAGCATCCTGTGCATAACAAATGTTCAGCTGAGTTTATTCTATAGTTGTACACTGATTTGCACATAATGATTTGATTGAAAAGTTGAGGAAAATTGTTTCAGAAACTAATTTCAGACGTATTAGGTTCTATTTAGTTGAATAAATGTATATCCTTTACTTTCGATTCCATTATGAAGCAGCTCATGTTTTGCCTTGTGTTTCTGCTGTCGGAGGCTTTGGGACCCAAACCTATATGAATTTATTCGAATAAAAAAAGGGCACTTCATTCATGTTGAGAAACTTTCAAATCCTTTTCACTGCTCCCCTGTTTTCCCCTTTGAAACCTTAAATCCTCTCATCAGACTGACCTGTGATGACACTGGGGAAGGGACTGCTCACAGCCACTGAGGTGAAGGAGGTGGAGGCGCCACCGAAGGGCGTCATGACCGAAGACGCTCCACCAAAGGGTGTGAGGGCAGCGGCATGACTGTTGTAGCTATTGTTGTGTGTCTTCATAGCTGGTGAATGACCCATCAGGGTGGGGTCGGGCCCGTAGTGGCCCAGGTGGGTGTTAACTGGCGTGGCATTCGAGTTGTCGGGTCGGTACTTCAGCGCCGGGCCCTTGTCTTCTTTACTCCTGACACAACCCATCGTCGAGCCTGCAGGACAGAGGAGGATTTGATTTAACTGTTTTGTTACATTTGTATAGATTAAGCCATAAGTCTACTGCCACACATGACGTGTGCTGTCAATGAACTACATCCAACTGTAAATGAAACCTAACATGCAGTTAACAAATATTCTCTGGAAAAATCAGATACACATTTAAGTTGTTAAATACAAACTGTAAATGTAGTTTTGCTCCACTATGACTTATACAACGGAAACAAACTTTCTTCAGTTAAACAAGGAACTGCTTCCAAATCAGACAAGACGACAAATCAGACAGTTGAAATCTGCCAGAAGTATTTGACAATGAGAAACGAGGTGCTCAATGTGAATACTGTGAAAAGAGCTGACATGTGTGAAGAATGGATGGATTTTAGTACAAGATATAGTTTGAAACAGAGATTACTGAAACCTGCAAAGACCAGACATGCCACACATTAGTATGTCTACCAACATATACTGATTTCAATTATCTTGAAATGAAATCCGATCTGTGTGTGTGTGTGTGTGTGTGTGTGTGTGGCGCGCGCATGTAAGGTTTGGGAATCATAATGACCATAACCATAATGATGGTATCGCGATACAATGATACTCGATAAGTTGCAAAATAATCATCTACGATACATCACAATATCTGTGTAACTGAAGAAGCAAAAATACCCCAAAAAAGGCAAAAAGCAGGAATTATATATTCATTCACTGCATTGCGGTGGTGAGGTTATCAGTTCCACCATTTGAAGATAGATATTAGGAACTTAACAAACAGCCTATTGGTTCATAAATTAGCAACAGCAACAACAATGTGTGATTTCATGTTTTGTCACGAGGCTAAGATTGTGTCACAAATACAGACAAATAATTATGATATTGTTCATACTAGCCTGAAGCTTTGTGGAGGGTCTTAGCATAACTGCAATCCAGACAAACAAAGATCAAAAGCCAACCAGTGACCTCATGTGACCTCATGTGACCTCACATGAGTCACAAGTTCCAACAAAAGCTTCTCAAGCTAGCTGAAGTAGAAACTAGATCGTATTGCAGCCTATGGCCATTTCAACTCTCCCCTGTGATCACACTATCACTGACACAGTTTTGAGAGAGACAAAAAGCCCTTCGGTGTAAAGAGTTGGTGCTCTCCCTTATGAGCTGACTGAAATATGAAAACCCTGTGTGTGTGCGTGTCTAAATTACTTCACATAAAAAGAAAGATAAGACAAATTCTACTCATTTTTTTTTTTTTGCTCAGCTGAGGTTTTTTTTATGTTTAATGTTTTGAAGAGTGAGTCACTGGGGATGTCCTTACAAAAAGAACATCCTGTAATAGCCAAATACTTGTCGGTTTATAAGTGTATAAGTTTATGTATGTGTGTGTGCTGTCATGAGCCGACAGCATCATCTACAGAGGCTGCTCTATTTACTCATTTTCCTGTCACCTCTGGCCTCTTGTGTCATGCCCTTCTGTGCAAGTGTGTGTCTGTCCGACTGTACACAATAAAACAAGCTGCCACTGCAAAACAGATGAACACTCAACTACAAGGCTGATCAATGACTCATATCCTGGCATGTGTAAAACAAAGTTACAACACAGTTTCAAACGTCTGTCACTGACAGGTTACACACTGGGGCTTGCAACAGAATAACAGAGGTGTGTGCTCCTGTCATTCATAGAGGGAAGGCCAACAAGGCCAAGACAAAAAAACACAAAGCAAGACAGGAGAGGACAGTGTCTATGCTCCAGTGGCTCTCACAGCAGCTATGCTTACAGTGTAAATAACTGGATACCACCACTGCACTGAAGCTTTAGTGCTGTCCCTCACTTGTAAGTTGCTTTGGATAAAAGCGTCTGTCGAATGAGTAAATGTATATGTATGTATGTACGGATAAATGTATAAAAAGGATACCTGTCTTTACCAGGCCAGCCATAGCTTTAACCTATCTACTAATGCAGTAGTGTGTCCTTACTGAGGTCCAAATATTCTGTGAAGTAGAAATTTACCTCCTTTCCACTAACGTGAACCAACCCAGAGAGCCGCCGTAGAGCTACATGATTGTGTCATTGTGTATGTCTCTTTCCCAACAATGCAAGCACCAAGCACAACGCCAACAGCAGACTACATCGTCTCTTTGTGTCTTTCTTCATTTTTATGTCCACACTGAGGGTCTGGTTAATGCTGGGCATTGTTAAATTTCTATTTCTACTCATAATGTTTGCATTTAATCCCTAGTTTCTGCTGTTTTATTCTATGACAATCCTGTCATTTTGATGTGAAGACAAGTTTCGTATTTTAGCAGAAAATTTGATCTGTGGCTCTTTCACAAGTTGAAAAAAGGTTATGCAGAACCAAATATATATAAATAAGTGAATAATAATCCAAATAGGTGAGATGCCAAATACAGATCATTCCTTCGCTCTAAGAATTGTAATGGTTGTATTGATTTGACTTTCTTCTACAAACTGAAACTAAAACTAACTCCCCTGGTGAAAAAAACAATTCATTAGTCTCTACTGACAGTATGGCCTTGGCTTGTGAAGGGCAGCCCTACAACTAAACCTAATGAGGATCAACAATCAATCTATAGATCTACTGACTTCAAGTAGACTTCTATCGACTTCCTCGCATGAACAAACAAGATCGACCGAAAGCCAAAGCTGAAGCAGCACAAACTGACAGTAAGATGAATGATGGTGGGAGCAGGATGAATGGAGATGAATTATTATGAAGAAAACAGACAAGTCTAAAGAGCAGGAAGGACAGTGTGAGAGCCAGACTGATGCTGAACATCATCTGATATGTTGTTTCTCCATGTGTAGTTGTTCTCACAGTCAATCACCACAAGTATTTTTGAATTTAACCCTGTAATTGGCAGATAGCAGCATCTTGTAAGAGAACCTGCTGCACTCTTCAGTATCTAGATGCCAGATACAAAATGTACTAGATGTGGATGGAGATTAGATTAGATGTACAACAAATGAAAATACAATCAAACCAATACCTTAAATTCTCAGTACAAAAAAAAAATTTGAACATGCCAGTTTTTGTCAGGCCGTTGTGAAGATAAAGCTTCTTAAAAAGCAGTTTCTAATATTTTCTCTCCAGTAAAGCTAAAAATTATTATTTTGAAAATGAATTAATCATTTTTTAAACAGCAGCAGCTTTTCTTTCTCCTATGTGATAGTAAACTCGATATTTTGGCTTGGGGGAATTTTTTTTTTTTTTCATTTTACAGACCCAACAATTTATTAAGAAAATAACCATTAGGTCAATCAGTGCTGAAAGTACCTGTTTTATTGCAGGCCTACCCAAGTAATCTGACCTTCCTGATGCTCACTGCATTCATGCTGTTTCTATACACTAAACCAAAAAAAAAAAAACATCTCAATAACCACAGCCTTTCACAACATCCTAGTAGAAGCCCCAGACATGAGAGGAGAAGCCAACATAAACACGAACATCACCTTTGACCTTAACCTGTCGCACGTCAACCACTGCGTGTTTCCAAATATCCAAAACACTTGGTGCCTGACCCTAAAGCTAATGCTACAGCAAACTAACGGCTGAGCTGAAAGAAAACATAGTGAAAGAGTGTCAGTGGAGTTTAAAGAGGGTATCAATGGTTCAAATCCTCTGCTGTGTCCTGGAAGCAAATACCCCTGACTAGGGCTAATCCTAAAGAACAGACCAATGTTGATTGTGATGACTGTAAGAACACAGATTCTGTTTCAACCAGCTGCTGATCCAAGTGAGCACAACACTAGTAGTAGCAGGAGTAGCTGCTTTAAGATAAACCCAACCATCATGATTAACAACGATAGGCATGGCAAATGATGACTAACCAGCTGATTAAAACACTTTCACTTTCTGTTTAAGCATCTCTACTGATTAAAGTTCCCAATTTCTGTCATGTAATTATAGGCAGAATATATATATATTTTTAAACTCCGCTTTCCTCAACAATTGGCAACTTCTCCTATTTACACTATTACGCACCCAGAGGATTTGCTCCTAAAATGGCCATGAATAGATCACAAGCCTCAGCGAGCCCACAGGGTTGGCACATGATTTGGCTTGTCAGACTCATTCAGTGCCCACAAGTTTCACTTTGGATCCCTTCTTCTTTGGCACAAAATAAAAAATGTGGCCTACAGGAAATCTGGAATTAATCTTGGGATATCATATTAAAATGTGATTTATTACTGGCTCAAAAAGGACAACATTAATAACAAGGACCAAGACTGTCTTGTTTTTAATGATATGATTCACTGTTCTTGCTGCTACAGAGACCAAACAGCTCATTATTTAAGGACAACCAGAGACCTTAAAGGAGAGGATTGCTGAGGAGCTGGGGCTGACATTATGCTGCTGTCCATAGCCAATCCCAAAATCGGTTCTAAACCCGATCCTAAATTCACCAAGTTATTAATCTTTTTAAAATGTATCAATCCTAGATTGATTTGAGTTAAGTTCTTTCAAAGTAGTCTTTGAAAAAAATAATAATAGGGATTTAAACAATATATTGTTTACAATTTATATAACAAATGCACTACCAATCTTTTGAACCACCCGTGGAGAAAACCTCACCTCTCCCTATTTAGTACCACAGAGAAAGGCCTTTGGTTTCCTTTTTATTCAGTCCCATCCACCTTTTGTTATGGACAAAGAGAAAGTATCTTGTGATGCTCCCCCCACAGTCTCACAATCCCCTCAACTATACAATCCCATACACATGCTAACACCAAGCAACACAAATGCTAATAAGGGCACAGACGCACTATCCTTACAGTGGAGCCAAAAACCCCAACAATCAATCAAACCAAGTGCTCCAATTAAATATTCAAAACCACCAGATGCTTCTACACACAGGGACAGATTTACAACTGCAGCTGGTATGAATGGACAGTTTTATCACTGCAGCAAACTAAATAAAATCATTGTAGTACACAACGCATGCTATTTTATGGACTATTCTATCCAAAATACTTCACTGTGTGTCACACATTTGCAGCATGGTGGGTTACCCCCACCCCAGTCCAAGTTTATCAATGGAGCTATCGAGTATTTCATTCAGATTTATAAATGTCCTAACATGACATGTTGAGAAAAATCTCCCATAAAATACATTCAACTGAGAATATTTGTGGCTGAGAGAATGATTACCCCCCAGTGTTTGTTTCTCCAGTGTGTGACAAATTTACCAAAACTAATGACAGCTCAAATCGACTTCACAGCAAATCAAATTACAGGCAGATTATTGTATCCTCTCTCGGATGGTTTCCTAAATGAGGCTGTTACATCCACAATGAGATTAGCTGGAAGAAATGTGCCATTCTTTTGGTGGCTCCAAAGGAAAACAGTAAATACCAACCGGAGCCAATGCAGAGATGTGGGTCATGGATCTGACGTAACAACACTTCTGTAAATTGTTTTTTAAGCATGTTTTTATCTGTAACACTAAGCACTCAGAAGTTAGTGAAACAGCTTGAGATACTTTACTCAACTACAAAACCAAAACTTAAATCATTTTAGGATCAGAGGTAAAAATGTATATTACCATACAAAAGACTGAAAATTTAAACCATTTTGGCAATCTGGCATAGAAATGGAAGTACATCCACACACTCTTTACTCCCAGCCATGCTGTACAGGAGCACACAAAAGGCAGTGGTATGTGTGCAAACAAATGCTGGATCCAGACCCCATCCAAGGACATGTGACATGTGAGGCCATGTGCCAGACTGCCAGTGATGCCGTGTCAGATTAAGGAGACACAGACTGCTGCTTCCCACAGGGCTGAATACAAACAATGCTGGAGAGTGGCAAGAGGAAAGCCTTGGCTGTAGCTAGCATGCAGGCAACATTCAGGAAAAACAATCCCAGCACTACACGTTCTCATGCCCAGCAGCGCTACACTTTTTTATTTGCAGAGTTTACAGGCTAACTCATAACTGTACTAGAGTCAAATTTATGTGTATAACCCAGTTATACAGTTATAGTTACATCTCAAAGATCTGTACAGGCACGTGCTGTACCAAGAACTGGCATGACAAATCAACACCCTGTCTTAGAAAAGTGTGGTAGTAGAACAACTAATGTATATACAGTATCTGATGAGCCAATCTTCCTGCACTCCATCAGAGTCCTTCTATATTTAGCTTTGATGTTGGCCAAGCTTTGTGTTATTTTTTGAGATTATTTTTATCAAGCAAATTCCAGAGCTTCTGCTCTCATGAACTGCCTAAGTGCAGTTGTGATAGGGAGGGTACAGTAGAGGATACAGTAGAAATGTCTGCTGCAGAGTTTGTGTGACGCATTCAGGCACGTAAAGTATGACGCTGCTCTTAGCGCTCGTTGCCATTCTGACTAATCAGATAAGACGCAACTGTGGCGAGATCTGGGAGAGGCCCTTCGACCTTTGAGCTTCTGCCTTGTGTAACCTTTGCAGTCACTTGGGACAAAACTATGACGCAAACTGTGCTCTTTACAGGATGTATATTCAGAAACTAAAGTACATGAATGGAGAATTTTTCTTCCACACTAAGACTTCATTTTTGAGTAACAGTGAGTATGGATGGATATCAAATATCAATGCTGTTTCTGTACTGACCAAAATATGTCTGTAGGATAGAGTATCAAAAGCTTCTTTGATCAGATGGTTCCATTTTTGCCAATTATGTTTAAGCAAAGCTCATTGGCTGCTTGATGACATTCAACCTTTGACAAGTCCAGCTTCTTTTGTTTGAGAGTAACTTCCGTCTAGATTTTAGATTAGATCTAGAAAACATATCTGCACTGGCCTCTTTTCGTTGAAATGTGTGAGGCCATGTTCACACAGACAACAAAACAGCGCCTTCATTCATTTTAATGGCACCACTCTGTCAACACAGCAGGGTGACAATGCAAAGGACCCCAGCATAAAAAAAAGAGAAAAAAACTGCAGGATCATTCTGCAACTCACATTTTGCTGAAGCAGTGTGGCATCATCCAGCAAGGCACTTGGCATTACACACTCCTGGTAGAGTGTGTTGCAACTTCAAGAGCTGTAAAATTGCGTTTCCTAGTATCTACAGACCACTGTGCCTTTGTTTCAGACGCATTTATCTCCCTTGATTGTATTTCAGGGGCTGTAGGGCTGCTTTAGTTGACTGACTGATTAGCAATGGACAGAAGAACAATCTGCAACTATTTTGACAATTAATAAACAGGAAATAGTAAAGAAAAAAAAAAAACAATAATAATATCAAATATTCTCTAGTTCCAGCCTTTGAAATGAGACAATTTGTTGGTTTTCTCAGTTTTATTTCACTGCAAACTGAATATCTTTTGGGTTTGGACAGTTGGTTTGACAAAACAAAGACATTTAAACAAGTCAGCTTGGTCTCTGAGAAGCTGCAATGGGTATTTTAAACAATAGACTAGCAATCAATCAATAATGAAAATGGTTGTTAGTTGCAGCAGTTGTTAATTTCATTGTCTTTCTCATGGCTGAAACAACATGCCTCCACCAACACAGCCCCTCATATTCTTTAAATGCAGGACTATTTTAGGTCCGAACACCCACTGAGTCTCTTGAACCTCTGACCATATTCAACATCACAGTGAGGTGTGGTCAGGTCTGTGGCACTGTGACCACGCCCAGCTGTGATGTAGCATGGTAGTGCCACATTGCATCACTCCTGCGCAGGGTGAGGAAAAAGCATGTTGCCACGACCAGTTGGTAGGGAAGGCCAGATTATTAGACTGGCTTCAGAACTTCTAATGAAGTCTAAAACCCATGTGTCATTTTCCAGTGATATAAACCAGAGAAAAGCTGCACAGTGTCACGTTTGAGAAGCTGAGACCAGCGAATAAATCAAACACTACGATGTTGTTGATTTGTTTTCAATTGACCATCAACACTTTGAAAAAGACAATCAGGTTGCTCTTGAGTGTGTGCATTACAATGTTTTAAGAGGTTTTTACAGGTTTGCTTGGGCAAACCTCAGCACAAGAAGTCTGCTAGCAAACTGCTCATACTGTGAAAGATAAATCCGATACATAATCCTGGACGTTGACAGACTTGCTCTGTAAACACTGGCCACAATCACAATCGCAGAGATGTGAAGGTACCAGGGGCTGCAAACCATTACTGAAGCGTAACTCAGTAATTGCCCTGGCACACTCTCTGAGGCGCAGCTCGGTCTTATCTTCAGGGCAGCCTGCCATCTCTGCCAATCACAGTGAGTGGAGGGGGCCGGCGGAGGGGGAACTTCCTTCCGCATCCATTCATGCCATTGAGGCCACCTGCTGTGCCTGTCAAAGGCTAGAGGGAGGCTGGGATAGAGAAAGAGCCATCGTTCGAGCTATAAAAAAAGAAGAGCTCTTCTTGTTCTCTGTGCCCACACCGCTGACTGTGGATATTTGAAATCTGAGAATCACAAATACAAATGTTTGTTCAGTTTTCCAACATGTGAGTGTGTCGCGTTATGACTTTGGTCTTTCCACTGCGGTACAACAGCTTGGAAGCCTCTAATCAGTCAAACTGTAATGATACTGTAGAGTCTTATTCGTGCCGTGAGGACACTCGACGAGTATGCAAGGATCCTTCATGCCTCCAGTTAAACTGAAGTCCCTGAACCCCGGCCAACACCACCTGTTAGTGCTCCTCACTCCTCTGCCAAACAGCCCTCTCCATTCCAGCTGTGTGTGTCTGTGTCTGTGTGAAGGAGACACGACTGTCCAGCCAACTGGGGCTGTTCTAACAGAGGGATTACCATGGAGGAGGATTACTGTGGCACCGGAGTATATAAGCACACCAACAGACACATGCACAGTCAGGGAGCTGAATATATAAACATATACACACTGCAACTCAACATTACAGCAGCACTCCTATATTTTAAGCCACTGAATAAACACAAACCAAAATTAGTGCAGTTTGAGTTGCACCATCACAATAAAGGCATGAGAGCACAGAGTTGGAAACTGCTGGAAAAGGCTTAAATTCCAGGGGTTCTGACATTTTGGAAACTCTGTTGTAATACAATATGTCTTGCAATAAAGGCCCATTACAGCTGAGGCCTACAGCAGCTGATTGTGTGTGTGTGTGTGTGTGTGTGTGTGAGAGTGTGTGTGTGTGAACGAGATTGGGTGAGGCAGACAGAGATTCAACTTAGTTATGTGAAAGCAAATCAGACACAAATCTAAAATGAAGCTGTGCAAGCTACAAAAAAGTGATAGGAATTGTTATTCTGTTTATTTCATGGCTAAAAATGTGCGAATGTAGCACAGTCCTTGCTCCAGGACGGTTTGGGAGTCTTTCCTCATTGTTGTCTTCTCCCATCGGATTGTACAAGCAAAGAGCCACATAGATCTGGTCCTGGATCAGGGTCAACAACGACCCAGGCTTTTATTACAATGTAGCACACAGAGGAAACTCTCCTGAACCCTTTTCCCAACTTTCTCCAAGTGTCACAGAACTACAAGGCCCGGCTCCCTCCACTTCCAAGACAAAATGTGACTTTTTTTTCCTCTAGCGAGCACTTCTTACCTTGAAAGCGACCTTAGCAGTGTTGTACTTCGGCTACATGCGTCCTGTGATCTTTTTCCGCACGTTTTTATTTCACGTCGCAAATACAAATGAGAGGAAAAGAAAACAGCCGACACCAGCAGTCTCTCTAACGTGGAATCTCAGTCTTCCGTCTGTCCCATACCGATTAACTACTTCACCAGCCCAAAGTCCTCCGCTGGGATCCTTAATGTTTCTTTAAAACGAGGACGAGGACACGCCGCCAGCTGACAAAGACTGCTTAATATGGCGGGGACACAGCGAAGCAAAACAGTTAAAATATCCAGAAATCACCGCTCGCTGATAGGTTGGGGTTGCCCTGAAAGACACACAACAATAGCCGGACGAGGACCGAGGAGCCGACGAGGCCAAAGAAGGAATCATGATGCGTTCACGCACTTAGATTAAACTCGTTCTTTCGGCATCCAACCGTCAATTAGTCGCAATACGCTAATTAACACATAATTTTGGCTCCCTTAAAACCACTTAATGTCACCTCGTGAATGTCGTCACTAGTGGCACGTTTTACACTCATAGTGAGTGCTGGAAAAGTCGTAAAGGATTAACATGTTTCTGCGTAGTAGAAAATACCGCTTCCTGGGGGGTTTTCTTAAATTGTTAACAATATTAACGACCTTCCAGACTTAACTCCCAAACCTCTGTAGCGATCCAAAACTCCAGTTTGAGAAATACTAACAGCACATTGGCCAATCTCCACAATAATGTCTTTCTTATTTGCTGCTGTCTTGCACGGCTGCAACTAACTTTTATTTTCATTATCAATTAATCTGCTGATTAATATTGAATGATTCACTATAAAATGGAAACAAAATTGTGAAAACGCCGGTTTTGCAGTCAAAACTAAAGTAATCGAATTGCTTGTTTTATTTGACCAATGGTCAAAACCCTAAAGATGTTCAACTTGCCGTCGTGTAAAACAGAGAAAAATAGACAATTGACACCATGTGAGAAGCTAGAAATATTCAGTGTTTAGCATTCATGCCGGCATGTGATATTTTTCCGATAACACTTGAACGTCACGTCATCTCCTATTGAAAGGTTTTCCCGTGTGCCCAATATGGCCGACATCCCTGTCTCTGATAGAGGAGGAAATCCACCACCTGGCTCCGTCACAAACATAAAACTGTCGTATTATTTTTTCCCACTAAATACAGTCATTTAAATATATTCTTAAGTTGTTTAATTAAGACCTAAATAGCAACACTGTATTGACCCGTTTAGTCTTAGAACCTTATTCACAATGTGCAGGAATCTGGCGCCCTCTAGGTTTTATACGATGTTGAATGGGTTTACGTAGGCTATTTACTTAGACTGCAGTTGAAGTACAAGTGCTCAAATAAAGGCTGCCGGCAGCATAGACTGTAAAACAGTCTGCAGTTAACACATGTTGTATGACAGGCTATATTTAACTTCCTACGACTTCAGTCCTGTAACATTTCCGAAAGGAATTAAATTGAGCCTAGGCCTATATTATTGATATGGGTAGTTAAATGACAAGAAAAGGCTGGGGTGAGGCTGTTGTGCATCTCAAACACCTTGCATCAGCAAAAATAATGACAGGTTGAACGGGTTTAACACTGCAGGTTCAGTGTATACGTGAGACCTGATTTTCTTAAGTGATTTCCGAAGTGATTTGCTGACCCCTACTGACACTGACTGCTGCACTGCAAGTTTCCCCTGGGGGACTTCTCCTGAAAAGCTGCTCCACCCACACAGAGATACAAACTGGCTGATTGAAAGTTCTGGTAGGATAATTACTTAATATCGTAATTATTAAGATCTTTTGAGGGTTAATGGCAAGTATACTTGTGTGATGTGAGCGAAAAGAGTTGTAGTGTTTATGAGTGGCTCCCAACCTGGGGGTTGAGACTTCCGCAGGTGGTCACAAGATAAATCTGAGAGTGATGCAAGATTATGGAAGATTTTAAAAGCTTAAATAAAAACAAAGAAAACAAAGAAATAAAGTGAAATACAATGCACATTATACGTTTCATATTTTCATGTTATGATTCACTGTGTTGTGATTTAAATGACAGAATGTGTTTTTTCCACACCCTCTCAAAATGTTTTCGAGTCAGATGCCCCTGTCAGCAAGATGACATCATTTGTCTGTGCCTTTCAAAATCACTGTTAAAATAAATCTGTTTAATGTGACAACACCATATGGTTCATGTTTAGTTGAGAACATATATAAGCATAAGTTGTTTTGGGCACTTGCTTAAAGACTGATACTGTTGTTCTACTTCGGAAGATGGTCTCCATAATAATAATTTAAAAAACACATAAAGGATACATTTAAAAAGAAATATATATCGTCGCTGTTGGTCAGAGACCTCTTATGCCCAAAACCATTACTATTTTTTAAAAATAATTAAGGACCACAATATCTTAGTTAAAAGCTGTTGTTAACACTTTTCATTGGTTAAATGTTTGTAAAATCTAGACACAGCTGTAAAGTGTGACTAATAGCAGTGATTTGTGAAGAAAATAAAAAAAGATGAAATATGGAGATAAGAGGTTTACACCCATTACAATGTTACAATGTGTATTGTACTTCACTCAATTTCTTTGATTTGTTTTCATTTAAGCATTTTCAATCTTCCATACAAGATGTTGCACACATTTATATTGATTTTGTCGGACATTTCTCTAATATTTGCCTTTTTATCTTGTTAAATATTGATCTTTTACCTCTTCATGAGCAGTTTAGAGAGGGAAATCAGTCTTTTCTGCTCACAACTCACAGCTAAGATATATGCAACCTGTGACAAATAGCCAATGTACATCTTCATTTCAATGGGTCATAATTTTTATATACAGTCTTGGTTGGAACCAATGGCCTCTATGAACCTATGTCAAGCCCACAATGCAATAGGGTAACATGTACCCAATTTAGTCCAATAGTTTCATCCAAATTTTCACCAGGATTGCCTCTTTTTTCCTTTAACAAACAAAAAATTTAAAATAAGTATACCATTAGAATAACTGTAAAGCTACAATAACCACATACATTGTGCAGTTTTGGCTTTAAGTCTTTTTTTATTTTATTTTTTTTATTCTTTTACTAAAGACAATTCCGTGTGCAGCTGACAGGGTAAAGCATATACAGTTGTTCTGCTGTGAAAGCTCACAGAACTGTTTCAGGTTGTGCTTGTTTACATTGTGACGACCAAATGTAGGTGAGAGGGTTTACTCATCTTTTCCTCTTCTCTGATATGTGGACTGGTGACGATGAATGAACCTCAGCAGAGAGCTCGCATGTTTTTCTGCTCTCCTCACGATGGCGCCGTTTGCTTAGACTACCGAGCTGCGTCTCTACACCTGCTGTACCAGGCCTAATATTAGTAGTCTGCTCCAGTTAAAACATATGAGGTTTAAGTTGAGCTCTTCATAGGAATCACGCCCCGCGAAGAAGAAGTGGAGGATAGGCCCCCTCTAGCGACTGGCTCTGTTCGTCATACTGCGTCAGAGTAAACAAAACGCTGACGTGAGTCTCTCCTCTTTGGCAAACTCTTCAATTGGTCGGTGAGTTATAGGTGTGATTCAGTGCAAAATCAAAAGGTGCGCTGACCTCTAGTTGCTGATCTCAATCAGGCCTCACACAGGCTCGTCCAAATTAAAAGTCTCATAACTTGCATCCGACACACTATGTTGTAAGCCATTAGTTTTATAGTATGTTATGAATATTAATGTCAAGTGTATACTTACATTTTAATTAACTGTATTATTAGCAAATAATAGATAGGAAATTAAAGAGAAGTTGCAACCATAAAGATGTTCGACTCAAGTGCCAGAAATTAGGCATCATCAGCCAAGTAGTATAGGTGGAAAGAATAAGGCCCAACTTCTTCTTTGGTTATTTGCCACATACCTCACAGTATAGCTACAAGCCTTTTCTCGGAATTTTTCGTTTTAACGTATCAATCAGCGTATTATAGGGATCCAGACAATTTCCGAACAATGTTGGGAAAATGGGTGAATCGTTCCTAAAGCCACGTAGGACGATAGCTCTCTGAACCGGCATCCTGCGTCACCAGCCTGTGTTCAAATCAGATTATGTGCCTCGTTTATTTCGACAATCTAACGGATAGGCCGGAGACTTAGCGCTGTCATTGCATTGGCCATTAAAGCCACCACCACTCCTTCCCCCCCCCCCCCCCCCCCCCGATAATATCCAATGAGCAATTATTGGAAATGATTAGGAAAAGTGACTGTAAAGTCACAAAGCCGCAATTCGAGAGGATTCATTTCAGCACCGGACAGCTCCTGACTCCCCGGAGGCCTTGAACTTGGTCAGCGGAAGCCTGATTCCCCCTTCCATCAAAACCAGTCACATGAAACCACCACCACCACCAGCGAAGACGATCACTTCCCAGTTTAGTCATAATCATAAAAGCCTAATTGGACTTATTGATGACGTGTGTGTGTGTGTGTGTGTGTGTGTGTGTGCGCGTGTGTGTATGTGTGAGGGGGGAGGGCTGGGCAGTCGCGGTCACGGTGACGAAAAAGAATTGATTTGTATTTGTCCTGTGCAAAGTTCAAGAATTCATGTGTGTGCATTCACAACCATTTCTTTTTTAAAGAAGAAAGTTTGGAAGTAAACTTCAATCTTAGGAGGGAGGTGGGGGTGAGTCTGACAGATGCATCGATGAGGAAGGAACTGTAGGCCTACTATTATATTCCGGGAGGAAGACTTGATGACGTCTATAGCATCCTTAATGTGACTTATTGGAGGGGGGAGGAGGAGGAGGGGGGGGGGCATGGCTTACGATACATGGATAAAAATCCAAGGCAATCACAGCACAGGACAAAAGTTTAGAGCAACGATATGTAGACGAACATACAGCGCACCTTCCCACCGAGTTTTTGTTTGCCTGCGCGACTAGTTGGGTCCTTTGAATTGTACATAAAAGTGAGCTAGACTGTACTGAGGGGAACATAAGGAGACGACGGAGGCGCTTCAGCCAGGAAAGAAGTGCCGTGAGAAAGATACCGTCTCTCTCTTTCTCTCTCTCTCACACACACACACACACTATACCACAGCCGCGCCCGGATCACATCCTACAGCACAGCGCTCTCCCTGCTCTCCTGCTATAGGTATGTGTTTTTTCTGCGGATTGACGGGGAGCGAGATAAAGTAATGGAAATAATTCTTTTTTTCCCCCCCTGCATGGAGATCTGGTGTTTTTTAATGACTTTGGCTCTGCATGCAAAGGATTCGATGTCAATACCACAGTTAAACTTTTACGAAATGGGAGGAATAAAACAGAGAAATCTTTTTTCTTTGTTGTTGTTGTTCTGAGCAAACGGACGCTGCGTTTATCCAGTTAATTGAAATTTATATTCGATCCAGCTTTTTGTTGTTGTTGTTTGTAATTAGGGAAGTAGCACAGCATGTGGATTTGATAGAACAAAGAGTGAGCATGTTGTTTCTGTAGGAGTGACTAACCTGTTTAATGTTACTGTTTTTCATATTCTAACAGCATGGCCAGTTCGAGTAAAGCGACTTTAATCTTGCTCATCTACGGAATCTTAATGCACTACAGCGTCTTCTGCACACCTATCGGACTAAGTTACCCTAAGATTAGGTAGGTGTTTGCGCTTCATGCAGCTTTATAACCTCATTTTTGCCTTTATTCATTTATCCATTTTCAATGCAGCTGAAATCCATTTTCTTAAATGATGGCATTGCATTGTGATTAACTATGAAGTGATTGGATTTGTACATTTTGTTTCAAATAACTGTGCGTACTTGCGCACAAACCATGCGCGCAATTTTTAAACTGAGAATTGAGAGGAATAACAAAAGGAAATATTTCAACACACACAAAATGCAAATCTCGTGTGGAAAATGGTTATGGAGATTGCATGGAAGTCTCTGTCCGGTGGGACGGTTCACAGAACTCCCCTTATTAAAAATGAGAGTGCAGTCAATGCAATGGATAGCCCTGGGGATGACGGTGGACTGGCGTCACCAAGGAGAGGCGAGGCAAAACGAATAGGAGAGCTCCATGCGTTTAAGATTTATTCTTCTTTTTCTGAGAAAAGCATATCCATAATTTGGGCGTGGTTCTTTCGTATTGATTCTAATTTTTTTTCTCTGCTGATTGCAGCACTCTTTTAATGAAAATGTTGGCTCCACGCCTACACTAAGCGTGATCATTTTCACACCCATTGTTCCGATCTTTAAATAATTAATGAGTCTGTAGCCTCTGTTTAGAGCAGAAGCACCAAGTTGGAATTAAAAACATATTTTAAAGATTAAATAATGAATTTAAAGATCTTAGAGAGCTTAGAAAAATAAAGCTGTACACATTTAACACGTTTTAAAACATTATCATTATTATTATTATTATTGGTCAAATTTAAATAATTCGTTTTCTAGTTTTATTTAAAAACACCCTCACGTTCTGCTTGGTATTTCGTTTACTTTGCTCTGTCTCTAATGCATTTTAACCTCCCACTGATTTTAGCAGATGCAGACATTTTGGCATTCTTTCACTCCTGCGTCCCACTTGTGCACAGATCAGATTTGTGATGAATGCTCCTTCCTCTTCTGCAGACTTGAAAACGACGCCTTCGATGAGGATGGGAATTCATTATCCGACATGGGTTTTGATAGCGATCAGATTGCTATACGAAGCCCACCATCCCTAAACGACGACGCGTACACCCTATACTACCCAGCAGAGAAAAGGTAAATGTGCTTCCACATCACAGTTTAAAGCCTTTATAGAGCTGGATTCCATTCTGATGACTTTTTTGCTGTTTGCGATAATGTTTGCTTGCTTTGTTTTTTTTCTCCCAGAGTTCCTCATGTTATTTGTTCAGTGTTATTTTCATACGGAGTAGCCTAAAATGTTGTTTCCAATACTGTTAACACTGAGGAGAAAAAAAAAAGGTCGGCACATACGGAAGGATGTAGCCTGTGTGTAAAACGGCTCTGAGGCTGCGATTTAATGCACCTGATGTGATATTGGAGCTGAGGGTGGGTGGGGACATTTTAGGCTACTTTTGATCATTTTGTCTGCGCTTTTTTTTTTAGTCACTGATGATCTATGTGTTTTGGCGTTTTATCATCTCAGACCAGAAAGGCATGCTGAGGAAGAATTAGATAGAGCCTTGAGGGAGATCCTGGGTCAGTTAACAGCGAGACATTATCTGCATTCTCTGATGACAATTCGTGCAGGGTAAGGGCATTTCTTATAAGCGTTCACCTGCAGTCATCTTTTTTTTCTTTTTTTTTTTTTAAATGTTCCTCAGCTGCACAAGTTCCGGCTGCTGAATCACTGTCTGTCATTTTATGTGCGTGTTTTTTTTTTTTTATCTCTCCATTTAAAAAAAAACAAAAACAAAAAATCGTCTTGATATTTTCATTCCACCTTTATGTTTTGTGTTTCTTTGTTGTGGCGTGGCACTGCGTTCATCATTAACGAATGAGGGTCAGTTTCCTGAGACTAAAATACACTGCGGTTTATTTATATGTGATTAATCTATAAATTGATTTTTTTGTTTGCCCGAGCACTGTTGAAAAATCCTGCGTCACATTATGCAATGGGCTCTGAATGAATAATTAATAACTTTTCTAAAACGCTTAAATCACTGTTTCTTTTACACTGTTCTTGCTTGCCGCCTTAATTTCAAACGAAAAACAGGATGAAAGGCCCATAAATGCATTATTAATGACTGTAGGCAACTTTGAATCATGGCAAGAAGGAGAGATTATCAAAGCTGGTGTAAAATGAGAAAGAGCAGGAATCTGTTGAGCAGTGGAAGTGTGCAGCTTTAACTAATATGCTGTTTTATTTTTTATGTGTTCTTTTGTTTGTTGTTTTTTTTCAGTGAAGACAACAGCATGGAGGACGAGTCAGAGCCCTTATCCAAAAGACATTCAGATGGGATCTTCACCGACAGCTACAGCCGCTATAGAAAGCAGATGGCCGTGCAGAAATACCTGGCAGCGGTTCTGGGAAGAAGGTACAGACAGAGAGTTAGGAACAAAGGACGTCGACTGGCCTATTTGTAGCGTTGTTAAAGCGCCCAAACTGCCCTCCTGTGTATATACATCCAGTCGTTAAATCAAAGTCATTCAGATATATCTGACCAACCAGTGGATTGCGCCTGTGTTCTTTCAACATGTATTTATGTATGAAGTAAAGCCATTAAAATGAATATTTTAATAATAATATCGTTTTTTTTCTTTTTGTACAAAAGCACTTGATACCGCACAGTTATACTTTGTGGACCAATATTTTATTTTCATGTTCAGATGTTGAAAACAAAACAAAATGACTAAAAAAAAAGGAATTAGAAAAAAGAAGATAATTGTGCACCTTCAACGTTATGCGCTTGAAATCTTTAAAGGTCATCTACATATGCAGAAAATAAATAGATTTTAAAAAGACAATCAAAGTATTGAATGTTATACTTATTTTTGTAACCAACGTTCTATTTTTTTAGTGTTGTTTGTTTTCCAAACAGGCCCAAAGAAGCAGTGAGCATGCTATGTGAGGCATATCCGGCTTATCCTAAATGATAGATGTTGCCCTTGTCCACCCTTCTCCACGCTCCCTTAATGGGAGCTCTGTGGGTTTGTATAGCTTGCTGCCCCTCCAGGGGAATTCAGATGGCTTTTGTTGTACAGCCTCTCATTTGGTGGTTAACTGATTGACTTACACGCTCATTTGTGTAACTGGTGGTGGTGAAAAAAAAAAAAATCCAACCCCTCTTTTAAACAGAAATTTCATCGCAGGCTTTTGAAAGGGCATCACTGCCTTTCCTAAAGATGAAGGAAGCACTCAAGTTGCTGTTCACAGTATGCGGCAAACACTGCTTGCTCACTTGCCTCAAAGTCATCCACTGTAGGAGATCAATCGTGCTCGACAGGACTGTTTAAAGAATGTTCCATATGTGTGTGTTTTGTACAGTATCGGAAACGACACAGTGCACATATTCATCTCAGTGTTGTCTGTGTTCAGTCAACAGAACTATTTGGAAGAATGTGCTTCAACTGTTGATTGTATTTGGGCAGCACTCGGCACTCGGCTTTTTTCTTTTGAAAAGAGGTGGAGAGGAAAGGTAGCATCTGAGTTCCAGCTAGGGATGTTTAATTCATATTTCTTATTTATTGGTGCATGGTAACTGACACCTTGCTTATTTTTTGCTAAGGCACTGCATGCCATCATGCTTTTTTTTTTTTTGGATTGTGCTATTTGGGAGGTGGGCTGTGCTAAGCCTATTCCAGACGTGTTGGAAATGTGGAGAAGGAGGGCTAGATGTGGTGGAAACTGGTACTGCACTGACTTGTTGAATTTTTTTACCTCCCCTGCTGCTCGCATTGTGGATATCATAAGGCAAAACACTGGACTCCCTTTTTTTTGCTGATTGCCTTTGTCCTCGTAGCAGTTTTTAAAAGATTCTTTTGCTTCTAGATCGCCGTGGTAAATTGTTGATATGACAGTGCTGTGATTCAGTTGTTAAGACGAAGCTGATCTGTGTTAGATATGTACTGGTTGGTACTGTGCAGTGAGGATGTGACAAAGAGATGAGGAGAGTGTTAGGAGAGGGAGAGAGAGAGAGAGAGAGAGAGAGAGAGAGAGAGAGAGAGAGGTATGCATGGAGAGGAAGAGAGAGAGAGCAGGAAGCAAAGAGAGACTGTGTGTGTGTGTGTCAAAGAGAAAGCAAAGTAGGCTGTTACATTAGAGACAGGTTACAGCACCCATGAGCCAGAGAGAGGTTGTCACACCTGAAACGAATAGGAGGTGGGAGCTCCGCCACTGCCGCCTCACCTCACCTGCCAAAGTTAAATCAGGGTCAATGAGTCTGATGGAAAATATTGGACGTTGAATTCCCTTCACTTTGGTTTCAGCTGAAGCAAGATGCGAGTGAAGCTGGATGAGGCCACTCAATTGTTTCCCTCTCGCACTAGAACAGAGGTGAATGAAAAATTCAGCCCTCCGAGCAGAGGGATCTTCCCACTGACTTTTATTGGAGAGATATCTCATGTATTTATTCAATATTATGCAAATGCAGCTTTATGTACCCCTGCAATCCAATCAGTGGCCTGTGCCCCCCCCCCCCCCCAATAGAAACTATCAATACACTCTTCCTTCAATTTGGCTTTATCCTACAGGCTTTGTGTGAATGTGTGAGTGTGTGTGTGTGTGTGTGTGCGCGCATGTGTGTGGATGTTGGCATACTGGTGCGCATTTGTGTTTATGTGTGACTGTATTTAACATCCGTTTGTGTGAATGAGTGACTGAACGCGCACGTGGAGGTGGAAACGGCTTTTGGCTTTGGTGCCTTGCTTCGATGTGAGAAAAAAATAAAACAAAAAAAAAAACAAAACAAAAAAATTCGCCACAAGTGACAGATGGCAATTTTAGTGGCCCTACAATGCTGCAGTCCATTAGCTTACATTGAAACTTCCTTTTACTCTGTTTAATTGCTCGGCTTAGTCTGCCCCAACAGTAGTAGAATTAGGCTTTCTTTTTAAAGCATGGCCAATGAGTTATTGAGTAAAAAAAAAAGAAAAAATGAATAGGATGTATATGTTGATGGAGCAGGCAGTGTGTATGTGTGTGTGTGCATGAGTTTGGGGTGTTCAGTGTCTGTGAGAGTTGTGAACAATGACCAGTGTTTGTTATTGTTGATTATGAGGTGTTGTTGATTATTTTGATATTGGTCCATAATTTATTAATCCGAAAACAGCACCAACATATTATTTACAACTATGTGCATCACTATCTAGAATAAAAGGGGTTCAGAAGAAGTAAAAGAGATTTTGTTCAGATCATAGAAAATGCCTGTTGTTGATATTTCTGAAAGCGCCAAACGCCTTACTTCAATGTTTAATCTCTTATCTATCTGAAAACAATGTGTTTTAAAGGTGAACATTAGTACAAGTGACATCGTTATACACACAGGAGTCCTTATATGGGGTTTTACGTTTCTCAATGTTATGAAAGTGTTGTAAGATTTGTATGAATAAATTTTTGTAAACAACATTTTCTAATCAATGTCTAATCTTTGAAATACATCATCTGTAAGGTCGCACATATGTTGTTAAAAACCAAGACAGCGCAGCCAAAGAGAGAGCTATGCTATGCTCTGCAGAGCTATGACACAGATCCTGACTACAGACCTTTTGTTTGCAACTTACATCGGAATCGAGCTTAAATCTTCCGTCATAAATTGAGTTTACATGATCACCAAGGGCCACATATTTGTCTGAGCAGAGGTGTTCTCCCGAAACAAATACAAACCTCAAGTCATATTACAGAAATGAAAGTGAAACATCCTTCAGCAGCAGCTCTGCTCTTCTCCACTGGGTTAAAGTCCTATCAAGTTAAATTTATCTTTCCAAAGCCAAATCAACAGACACGAAACAACAAATCTGAGAAACCCACAGCACTGGGCACTTTGAAGATTTGGTTTAACCTGTCAGCAAGCGGCACTTTGATTGCATCATAAACAAAAAGCAAAGCGAGGTGTATCTGGTGGTCTTTTATTGATCAGTCCTTGTCACATAATGACATTTCCAGGTGGTTTTAGAATTTCAACCTACAGTTTATGAAATGAAAATGGGGTAAATACGCTTAAATAAATGCACCTGTAATTCAAACCAAAGAACCGTCCACCATCTCCAAGGAGCTCGTCAAGAAAAGCTACGACCCTGGACTGAGCAGCAGAGCTCAGAGATATTCCCTCCTCCTGGAACCGCCTTTCTGTCTTTCTCCTCACTCCATCCTTGGCCTTGGAAGTGCAGCTGTGTCCCACGGGAGAGGAGGATGGGTGTGGCAAAGGAGTGTGTGTGTGTGTGTGTGTGGGTGTATGTGTGTGTGATCTGATCTTCATCAGCCAGCAGGAGTGTGTGTGTGTGTGAGTGAGTGCACATGCACCAGAGCTCGACTAACCCAATCAGAGAAATGTTGCATGGCAACGGTCCACAAAGGGACACGGTTATGTATATGTATGTGTCAAGTGTATTTGGATGTGTGGAAAGGGAGTGAGATAGAGGGATTGTGTGTGTGTGGTTGTGTGTGTCACTGTGTGTGTGTGTGTGTGTCTATTTGTTTGCTCTATGCAGGCAGACCTTGAGTGGGCTCTGCATTGGGATGGGGTTCTACATTACATCTTACATTTGTGTACACACACTCTCCCTGTAGAATAGAAGAAGTACAGATAGTCTCTCACAGATACTGTAATAACACCAACAGTCACTGGCACTGGTGGAAAATATGATTAATGAAATCCAACAAAATGAATTAGCCACAAGAAACTGCCACACACTCACATTCTGTGACACACACACACCTTTGTTTCTTCCCTGAGGGAAGTGATTCATGGGAGTCGCCCTGTTGCAATGAAAAGCCTGACAGATTGTCAGTTGTCAGTGTTTGAGCGACCTGTGAGAGATAGGACGTCCCCATTCTTTATTTATCCCTCCCTCCCTCCCCCCACTTTTCCTTCTCTTCGGCTGTCAAGACACAAAGCTGGCTTAGTCCTCTTGACAAGCAAAGATTCCTAAATTTCTTCTCTCACATTTTCTGTTTTTTACAAAAGATATGAAGACATGAAGCAAGCGAGTCGAGTGAAATGTATTGTATGTAAGAAAAAAAAAATGTATTCAGAAATAAATTTGATTTGATATTCACACCCTCATACGCCCACAAGGGGATATTGAGACAAGTGCTCCAATTTGTTTGCGCAGCATTAGGCTATACATGAGGGGCCACCCAGAGCCAACTTGTATATAATGTACATTAATGCCTGAATCAATAAAAGAACGCTCCTCCTTCCTCGTAGCCCCACATCATCGCTCCTCTGTGGGACACATCACTCCACTTCTTATCTCCCCATTAGTGTCTTCGAGCTGTTTTTCAATTGATTCTGAATTTTTCAAGACAGTGTGTGACTTGTTTTGTTGGCAGTTTCTTGGAGGGAAAATTGGAAGATGTCCAAAATTTAGAGCTGTGAAAACAGAGAAGAGTCATACACAGCTTTTGATCATATTCCCTCTGCCCTACTATTCCTCTAGACACGTCTTAATCACGTATATCGTGTTAGAGGGGGGAAGGGGAGGTTGTGTTCAGGTCTTTTCCTGTGGGGATACCCATACTTCCTCCCCCAGCACCACAGCCACACCCAGTTTTCTTTGTCACCATGGATCTGATGAGCGTGTGAAGCCAGAAGTGTGTATGCATGTATAATACAGATTTATTGCCTGTATGATTAACATTTCTGCCTTTCCCTCAATTGTGTGCGTGCATTCATCTATTTACCTACAACACAAACACTGCCCCCTCTTTCTCCCCCGCCGTCTCTCTTGCGTGTCAGGGTTAAGAATACAGCATTCACAAGAGAGGCCTAGACACAGCAATGATGCAATCACACATACCTCTTTGCATTTCACCTCATGAATCATTCAGTCGTCAAGTTTGGGGGGGGGGGCAGTGTGGTCATGCCAAGCAATGAAACCCTTGACTGTGGCAGCCCTGAAGTCCCCCACTCCCCTCTCCCTTAAATTCCATCTTGTGGTGGGCTCGGTCACATCTACCATTAAGCAGGAGGCACTCTCTGGTGAACAGCATCCCCTGTGGGAGCAGCGAGAGGGGGAGAGAGACAGAGGAGGAAGAAAATACGAGATGTGGGCAAGGGTTTGCAGACATGGACCACTGATCAAGAGTTGCTTCTGGCTTAGAGGGAAACACTTTGCCTGAGCTGCTTGAGTAATCATGGGTAACCAGAACTATCCATCATTTATTATGAGGTTATATGGCAAGGAAGGAAAATGACCATCTCAAATGTCATTTTCTCAGCTTCTGTATGTGTGTCTCCATGTAACCTAAAAAAAAAAAAAAACAAGATAATTCTTTGTTCATCCTGAAGGGAATTTTTGTGCCAGAATGTTTACATGTACAGGTAGCAAAACAAATATGTGGCAAAAATAAAAACTATATAAAATAAAAGATTAACTGTAACAATATAAAAAAAACTAAATACAAATGTTCATTCATACAATGTATGAATGAACATATGGAGTGTTGATGACAAATTATAAATAATTAATTAACTGTACAAACTACAAGCAAAGAATTAAGGATGAATAGCATCATGCACCAGAATCATGATTTTGTGGAAAAATATAATGTAACACACTTTTTGTCACTTAGAGAACAGAGAATATAATTATTCAAATAAATGATCATTAAAGTAAAAGTGTCATTAAGTGACATTTAAGTGTCATTATTTTTAGGACAACACAACATAGCCTACATGTTTTAGCAAACAGTTGCCTATTTATATTTCCAGAAGAAACAAAGCAACATTAGCTTTCATTTGGAGTTTCTATCCACCTGATGAATGTAAATCCCATATTCACTCTCCTTTGAGCTCCGTTTTGTTCTCTACCAACTCCTGTGGGAAATATCTGGCTCCTTAGTTGTTCAATGCTCCATCATGTTCACCAGCTAGTCCCAAACTTTGTCTGATGTTTGGAACTGAGTAGGTAGTGTACAGTATTATCATTTTTTTGCTGAAAAAAAGCAGCTTGCTGCAGCGGGAAACAATGCTCACAAGCCTGAAAACAATATATTAATGTTGTGGGCTGTACAACCAAAACAATGGGCGGATAGATTTTCTATGGGTTTGTCAGTGCAAACAACCCCTTTCACATTACATGTAATCATTTGATCTAGTTTAATATAAAACATAATGATTAGAGCAGCTTTAATGAATTTGTACAAGAAAATTAAAATAGCATCAGTTGAAGTCTTCCCTTAGATGCTTCAACTATCATGCAATTACATTTTTTTTTTTTTTAAACTTGGGTTTAATACACATGGGTGCAGGTTTGCCTGATAGCACTTGTAAAGGATGAAGAAAGGATGCCCACAGAAATGTGATGACCACATTACTAACAGCTCTGACGCCATCTGATTTGCCCTGTGGTGGTAAATCCAATCTAAGTGCTAAATCAAACATGAGCATTAAGAATAGTTTGCAAATACAGCCTCCATTTAAATACTATGTGCACTATTTCCCTCACATCTAATTCCATTATGGCCGAAGATCCTGAACCCTAATTTGTTAGCACACATTTTTAACAAGCTTATCCTCAGAACTCCCATTCCCTCTAGTCAGTGGTACTTGACTGGAAAAAACGGAGCTTGTGGCTCTGTGCTGTTTAACATCAAACACATTTCTTTAAAGCTGCCTTCTCCCAATGTGGTTCTCCAAAAGACATGAACAGAGAGCTGCTGTGTCCCACGTGCTTCTCAAAATTTCTGTCGATAACAACGGCAGTGGGGGGGGGGTGCACCAGCAGGTGGGCTTGCTGGCTTTTGAACTTCCTGGAGTGTGGGTGACTTGACTTCACAAGGAAGTTGTTGTATGAATCTCAAAAGTCAGCAGTTGAAGACATTTTTTTTTTTTTTTGGAAAGCCTGTCACGGACTACAGCAGCCACACTTCACACATGCTGACCTTCAGAGTTCAGTGTGAGGTGAACAAACGAACACCTTGCAGCT